TGTTTCTTCTCATTTTGAGTTGTGCCATATCAGCAAATGAAGGTCCTGAAAGCTTGACTCCATTCACATTGTTAAGGTCGACTCTACTTTGAGGAGGCAGCTCTTCCCCGGTCATTTTTTGAGTGTCTTCCAACCTGGGGGGCTCATCTTCTGGCACTGTATCAGACAGCGTTCTGCTGCTATTCATAAGGTTTTCACTGGCTAATTCTTTTCAGAAGTAGACCACTGGGTCCTTCTTCCTAGCCAGTCTTAGTCTGGAAGCTCAGCTGTAACCTGTCGGTCATGGGTGACCCTGCTGGTGTTTGAATACTGGTGGTATACTTTCTAGCATCACAGCAGCACGCAAGCCGCCACCGTATGATGAACAGACAGACGTGTGGGGGAATGATGACTAATATTTATTAGGCGCTTTCTATGTGTCAGGCACTGTATGTGTTAAGCACATTAATGGACATGATCTTATTTGTTGTCATTGAGTCGGCCCCCAGCTCGTGGAGACCCATGCACAATGGAACGAAACGCTGCCCAGTCCTGTGCCATCCTCATGATCAGTTGTGGATGGGACTGTTTTGAGCCATGGGTTTTCATTGGCTGATTTTTAGACGTAGATCTCCAGGCCTTTCTTCCTAGTCTGTCTTGGTCTGGAAGCTCTGCTGAAACCTGTTCAGCATCATAGCAGCATACAAGCATCCAGTGTCAGATGGGTGGTGGCTGTGTATGAGGTGCATTGACTGGGAACGGAACTTATGTAGTTTTCATAAAACTCCATAAAAAGAGTACTGTTAATAGTCTGTCTCACAGATGAGGAAACTGAGGATCAGAGGTGTTGAGTACCTCATCCAAGGTTACACAGTTAGCAAGTGGGGGAGGTGGAACTTGAACCCAGACAGTAGGATTCATTAAAGACCATGGCTTCTCTTTCTGGGAACATGGTCAGAAGGAAAGAACCTGGCTCTAGTTCTCATCCTGTAACTTTGGGCAAGTCCCTTGGTCTCTTTGGGACTTTATTTTCTAACTTCACAAAAGAGGGCATGATCTCTAAAGGGTCTTTCAGCTTTCATTGTCATTGCTTTTCTTAATCTAGTTTCTTCCATTTTTCAAGTTGCATTTATTGAGGCCTCGAGAATTTGTCCATAAATAAGATACACAAAGGTGCTGTCTTCATGAAGCCCAGTGTCTAGTGGGGAAAACAGTCATTAAACAAATAAACAAGAGTATACTGGATGGTGGTAAGTGCCAGGGAGATGTAATAAGTGGAAGGAAGCTACTTCAGACTAGGGGTTACCAGTTACCAAATCAGTTTCCATCAAGTTGATTCTGACTTATGATGACCCCATGTATGTCAGAGTAGAAATGTGTTCCATAGAGTTTTCAATGACTGATTTTTTTGGAAATAGACCACCAGACCTTTCTTCCAAGGCACCTCTGGGTGGATTCAAACCTCCAACCTTTTGGTTAGCAGCCAAGCATATTAACCATTTACACCATCCAGCGACAAACATTTGAGCTGAGAAATGAATGACACGAATGAACCAGTCATGTGAAGATCTTAAGTAGAAGAAAATAGCAAGTGCAAAGGCCCTGAGGCAGGTACCAACTTGGTGTAATTTCAGAGGAGGAAGGAGGCTGGTGTGGCTGCAGTTGGTGGAACAGGAAGAGTGGTAGGAGGTCTTGCTGGTAGAGCAGGCAAGGCCCAGATGGTGTGGGGCCTTGCCATCATAAGGAGTTTAGATTTTAATCTAAGTGCTATAGGAAGCCACAGGAAAATTTCAAGCAGGAAAGTGATATGAACAATGTATATTTTCACAAGGTGTTTCAAAATAGAGTTCCTGGGTGTTGTGGACCAAGAGGTGGCCCAGGAAATCCAACAGGCCTCTGTACCTACAAGCTGTTCACTTGCCCAGACCTGGTGCCAGGAGACAAATGTCAGAGCAAATCACTCACCAGATCTACAGGTCCTACAGCTTGGATCCAGTTATGGACACCAAACCGTCATCCTAGGGCGCATTCTCCCTGTACCCTATCCCCGTCTGGGGGAGACCCCACCCCTGCTCCCTTCCCTCCAGCTCCTCTTAACGGCTCCTGCTCTGCAAGGTGCCTGAGTAGCCGCTGCACAGTGGGTCTCGTTGGGGCCTGTCCAACACCGGTGCTGACCTGGTGAACAGGAAGCTTTCTGCAAGGCAGGGCAGGCAGAGCTGGAGGCTGCATGCGCCCTGGGATCCCTGAGCTCAGGAATGAGTGGACCCAGGACTGGGGTAAGGACTTATTTTCCCTGGGGCTTCAACTTCAAAAACAATGCCATCCTGCAAGGGGCGGGTGGCTGAGTGACTTAGGGGTCCCCTCCTGCTTATGGGGGCTGTGTCGTGGGTGGAATGAGTATGACTTCTGCCCTGGGATGGCTCCACTGTGGGCTTCAGGCCCCAACTTATAAGTATCGATAAGCAACGCATGGGAGTAGGGGTCGGGAAGAGTGGGGAGTGTACAGCATCTCTTTTTGTCACAGGCTTTAGGACCCCAAGTGTAGAATCTGTCTCCATCCTGCCCCCTTTTTTCTGAGGTGCCTGGGCTTGGGGTTCCACCTGTAAGATTTCAAGCAGGGGTAGTGGTAAGGAGGTTGGAAGGATGGAGCATATTCAAGTTCTTCTCTGTCACATGCTTTCAGACCCCAAGTTAGGTGGACTTCTCCATTCCTGCCTCCACTCTGCCACTATCTCAGGATGCCACAGCAGGTCTTACGGAATCTGTGGCTTATTCACTCAGGACTCTGAAAGTCAAGGCTCCAGGCCTCTCCTTTTCCCCTTGCGCTGGAAGTTTCACTCTTCCTTGCCTTTGAAGAGCAAGAAAACTGGAAAAACAAGTCTTGCCTAAGTCATCCAGGAATGCTCCATCACATCTGGCTTGGAACCAGAGGCTCCTTGGAATCAAGACTCCCTTGGCCAGGCCCTGGTGGGCCTAGCCCTCACACTTGGCTTCTAGAACACCCAGGGACAACCACACTCTGCCCTGCCTTTACCCCTTGCCCAGTCCTTTGCCCTTATGAATTTCACTTTCAGGGATGGGAAAAGGCAAGAGAGAAAATGGGGCCAGCAGCAAATCCTAGAGAGGATAAGCATTCATTCACGGTTAGTTCAACAGTTCCCAGGGACGAGTTCTTACCTGGCTACACATTCTGTGACTTGGGGCAAGATCCTTACGCCTTTGGGGCTCTATTTCCCCATCTATGCATGGGGGTTGGTGGGGCAGAACTCCATCCTCTCTAAGGTTCATTTCAGCTCTGACATTCTAGGAGGTTAGGAATTTTCTATGTTCAGGGTTATAAGATGAGTCAGAGTCAGTCCCTGTCCATAAGGGACTTTGTGGGCCAGGTGTGGGTAAGCCTGGGGGAGGGGCAGCAGCAGGAATCCTTGGGTGGTGCAGAGGGTTAACTCACTCAGCTGCTATCTGAAAGGTTGGAAGTTCTAGTTCACCCAGAGGTGCCTTGGAAGACAGGCCTGGCAATCTACTTCTAAAAAATCAGCCATTGAAAATTCTATGAGCACAGTTCTACTCTGACACATGTCGGGTCACCATGAGTTGGAGTTGATTCAATGACAATTGATAGGGGGAACGGCACTGGCCTGTGATGTAAGGAACCCTAGTTCTAGCTCTTGCTTTGCCTTTGGTTAACAGTTAAGGCTCCGGGTATATCCCTTCCCTTTATGATTTGGTTGTTGTTGTATGCCGTGGGGTTAATTCCAACTCACTGCGACTGGACAGGGCAGAGTAGAACTTGCCCCATAGGGTTTTCTTGGCTGTAATCTTTACGGAAGCTGATGGTCAGGTCTTTTCTCCATGGAGAAAACACTTTAACCATTGAGCCACCAGGGCTCCTTTCTGAACCTTAGTTTCCTGTTACTAATAATGGCCAATATTAAGTTAAAACTTACTCTGTGCCAGGCACCATGCTAAGTTCCAACGACTTTGTAATTTCATTTAGTTTTCACAACAGGTAGACATGTAGTCCGTCTTATGATGCGGTTCTGTTCCCACAATTCCACGGTAAGTGGATTCTGACTTGAGTTGAATACCTGTTTTTTTCAATTTTCATCATTATTGCCTTTCATTATCAGTATCTTTATAAATGATAACATTGAACATCTGGGAGTGAACATCTGAGAATGATAACATCAGCAGATTATGCACGGCAACATTGTGTGTAGCGCGTATTACCAACACAAAGATGCACAACAAAAAACAGACGATCGTTAAGTGTGGTTTGTCATAACTCAAACACGTCGGAAGTCAGGGACTACCTGTAATAATATCCTTATCCTTATTTTCCAGAAGGGAGAAATAAATCAAGGCTCACCTAGGTTAAACAACTTACTCAGAAAGTCACCTAGCTAGTATGTGGTGGAGCCAGGACCGAGACCTGTGACCTTGTTCATGTTGTCTTTCTGCCCCTCTACTTGCAGATACAGCTCACTGGGCTGGAGCTCAGCCCTGATTGCAGGTGCAGGAAGCGTTGTGAGAAGTACAGGCAGAAGGGTAGTAGAGCCCAGCTACTAAGCTTGGATTCCTGGCTAAGGGTTGAAACTCTTTGGTCATCACTGGGGAGCCACTAAAGTTTTTTTGGGAAAAGGAATAAAGTAGTCAGAACTGTGGCATATCTACTGGGTGCTCTTGAGAGACCATTTCAAACTAGTTGGTTATTCTTCAAGCACAAGGTTTCTCAACCTTGGCACTATTGACATTTGGGGCCAGATCATTCTTTGCTCGGAGGGTTATTCCGTGCATTGTAGGGTGTTCAGCAGCATCTGGGCCACTATCCACTAGAGTAGTGGTAGCACCCCAGTAGCACCCCATCTGGGACAAACAAAACTACATTCAGACATTGCCAAATGTCCCCTGGGGGGCAAATTTGCCCCCCTGTTTTGAACCAAGGCAGCAGGAACCATTTCTTTCCTAACCTACACCCTTTCTATTTTTTTTTTGCCCAGGGTTTCAGGAACTTTTTCACCATGACTATTGCCTTGCTGGGTTTTGCCTTTTTCTTGCTCCACTGTGTGACCTGTGAGAAGCCCCTAGCAGGGATCATCTCCTTTTCAGCTTGGCACTTCACCCACCCGCTTTACAACACCACGATCTATGAAAACTCTGCTCCAAAGACCTACGTGGAGAGCTCCATGAAGATGGGCATCTACCTCGCGGAGCCTCAGTGGGCAGTGAAGTACAGGATCATCTCTGGGGATGTGGCTAATGTGTTTAAAACAGAGGAGTACGTGGTGGGCAACTTCTGCTTTCTGAGAATAAGGACAAGAAGCAGCAACACTGCCCTTCTGAACAGGGAGGTGCAAGATAGCTACACCCTCATCATCCAAGCCACAGAGAAGACCTTGGAGCTTGAAGCATTGACCCGTGTGGTGGTCCACATCCTGGACCAGAATGACCTGAAACCCCTCTTCTCCCCACCTTCATACAAAGTCACCATCTCTGAGGACACACCCCTCAAGAGCCCCATCTGCAAGGTGACTGCCACAGATGCTGACCTGGGCCAGAACGCCGAGTTCTACTACACCTTTAATACAAGGTCAGAGATGTTTGCCATCCATCCCACCAGTGGCGTGGTGACTGTAGCTGGGAAGCTTAATGTCACCTGGCGAGGGAAGTATGAACTCCAGGTGCTGGCTGTAGACCGCATGCGGAAAATCTCGGATGGCAATGGGTTTGGCAACTTGGCTGCACTCATCATCCAGGTGGAGCCTGCCCTCCAGAAGCCCCCAGCCATTGCCTCGGTAGTAGTGACTCCACCAGAGGGCAACGAGGCCACTACCTATGCTACCGTAGTGGTGGATGCCAACAGCTCAGGATCTGACGTGGACTCAGTGGAAATTGTTGGTGGTGATCCTGGAAAGCACTTCAAAGCGATCAAATCTTATGCCCAGAGCAATGAGTTCAGTTTGGTGTCCGTCAAAGGCATCAATTGGATGGAGCACCTTCATGGATTCAACCTCAGCCTCCAGGCAAGGAGCAAGAGCAGACCTGCATTTTATTCTCAGATTCGGGGCTTTCACCTACCCCCTTCCAAACTGGCTTCCCTCAAATTTGAGAAGGCTGTTTACAGAGTGAAGCTTAGTGAGTTTTCCCCTCCTGGCAGCCGTGTGGTGATGGTGAAAGTAACCCCAGCCTTCCCCAACCTGCGCTATGTTCTAAAGCCATCCTCAGACAATGCAGGGTTTAAACTTAATGCTCACACTGGGATGATCACTACTACAAAGCTCCTGGACTTCCATGACCAAGCCCACTACCAGCTACACATCAAAACCTCACTAGGCCTGGCCTCCACCACAGTGGTCATCGACATAATGGACTGTAACAATCATGCCCCCATCTTCAACAGATCTTCTTATGCTGCCACCTTTGATGAGAACATTCCTCCAGGCACCAGTGTTTTGACTGTTACTGCCACAGACCAGGATCATGGGGAGAATGGATATGTCACCTATTCCATTGCTAGACCAAAAGCCATACCCTTTTCTATTGACCCTTACCTGGGGATCATCTCTACCTCCCAAGCCATGGACTATGAGCTCATGAAAAGAATTTATACCTTCCGGGTATGGGCATCAGACTGGGGATCCCCATTTCGCCGGGTGAAGGAAGTGTTCATTTATCTTAGGCTCAATAACTTAAATGACAACCAGCCTGTGTTTGAGGAAGTCAACTGCACTGTGTCTATCCATAAGGACTCACCAGTAAGGAGATCGATAATGAACATATCAGCCATAGATGTGGATGAGCTTCAGAATCTGAAATATGAGATAGTATCTGGCAATGAACTAGGGTATTTTGATATAAATCATTTCTCTGGAGAGATATCCCTCAACCGTGCTTTTATGAATCGTACTGTTGGTCAACCCACCAACTATTCCTTGCAAATTACAGCCTCAGATGGGGAATACTATGCCTTGCCCACCACTTTGAATATTACCGTGGTAAAGGACCCTCATTTTGAGGTCCCTGTGACATGTCAGAAAAGAGGAGTCTTGGCACAGATCACAAAGACCATCATTCTCCACTCTGTTGGGCTTCAAAACCAGGAGTCCAATGCTGAGGAGTTCACATTCTTAAACACATATCAGATCAATCATCACACCCCTCAGTTTGAGGACCACCTCCCCCAGTCTATTGACATCCTTGAGTATGTTCCTGTCAATACCCCCCTGGCCTATCTGGCAGCCACTGACCCTGATGCTGGCTTTAACGGAAAACTGGTCTACATGATTGCAGATGGTAATGAGGAGGGCTGCTTTGACATTGAGCTGGAGACAGGGCTGCTCAGTGTGGCTGCTCCCTTGGACTATGAAGCCATCAGTTTCTTCATCCTCAATATAACAGTGTATGACCTAGGCACTCCCCAAAAGTCCTCCTGGAAGCTGCTGACAGTGAATGTGATAGACTGGAATGACAATGCACCCAGATTCCCTCCTGGTGGGTACCAGGTAACTATATCAGAGGACACAGAAGTTGGGAGCACAATTGCAGAGCTGAAAGCAAAAGATGCTGACTCAGAGGACAATGGGCGGGTCCGCTACACCCTGTTAAGTCCCACAGAGAAGTTCTCCCTCCACCCCCTCACTGGGGAACTGGTTGTCACAGGACATTTGGACCGGGAATCAGAATCTCAGTATATACTCAAAGTGGAGGCCCGGGACCAGCCCAGGAAGGGCCACCAGCTCTTCTCTGTCACTGACCTGGTAGTCACATTGGAAGATGTCAATGACAACTCTCCCCAGTGCTTCACAGAACTCAGCAGGCTCAAGGTCCCAGAGGACCTGCCCCCGGGAACTATCCTGACATTTCTGGATGCCTCTGATCCTGACTTAGGCCCTGCGGGAGAAGTGCAATATCTTCTGTTGGATGATATCCATGGGACCTTCCGGGTGGACCTGACAACTGGAGCACTCAGTCTGGAGAAAGAGCTGGACTTTGAAAGGCGGGCTGGCTACAATCTAAGCCTGTGGGCCAGTGATAGTGGGAAGCCTCTGGCCCGCAGGACCCTCTGCCACGTGGAGGTGATAGTCCTGGATGTGAATGAGAATCTCCATCCTCCACGCTTTACCTCCTTCGTGCACCAGGGCCAGGTGCAGGAGGATAGCCCCTTGGGAACCCAGGTGATAGTAGTGGCTGCCCATGACGATGACAGTGGCTTGGATGGGGAGATCCAGTACTTCTTGCGGGCTGGTGTGGGCCTTGCAGCCTTCAGCATCAACCAAGACACAGGTACTGGGAGTGGGGTAGGAAGAGAGTGCTGGGTCCGGGGGAAGATGGGCCTAAGGGAAATCAAGGACTGCCCTGAAAGAAATCAGGCTGCAGGCTGAAAAGAAAGGCAAGAAATAGGGTCTCTGCCTGTAGGTCCCTGGGTGGCATAAATGGTTTGTGCTTGACTATTAACCAAAGATTGGAGATTTGAACCCACCCAGCAGTGTTGTGGAAGAAAGGCCTGGTGATCTGTTTCTGTCAAGATTACAGCCAAGAAAACCCTATGTAACACATGGGGTTGCCATGAGTCAAAAATTGGCTGAATGGCAACGAGTTTATTTTTTGTTTTTGTTATTTTTTTCCTCTTTCCTCTGCCTTTTATTTTATCTTTATTGGATATATACATACACACATACACACACACTATATTATATATATGTATATATAAAACAAAAAACCAAACCCGTTGCCATCTAGTCGATTCTAACTCATAGTGATCCTGTAGGACAGAGTAGAACTGCCCCACGGGGTTTCTAAGAAGCAACTGGATTCAAACTGCTGACTTTTTGGTTGGCAGCCATAGTTCTTAACCACTGTGCCACCAGGGCTCCATATGTATATATAAAACCAAAAAAACAAACCCGTTGCCATCGAGTCAGTTCCAACTCATAGCAACCCAATAGGAGAGCAGAACTGCCCCGTAGGGTTTCTAAGCTGCTGGTAGATTCAAACCGCCAATCTTTTTGGTTAGCAGCCATAGCTCTTAACCACTGTGCCACCAGGGTTTCTACATAAATATGCACACTATATATATATATTTATATTTATACACACACACACACACACACACACACATATGGAGCCCTGGTGGCACAGTGGTTAAGAGTTCGGCTCTGATGTGTATGTACACACACACATATATACATATACATACATACATACATATATATATATATATATATATATATAAACCTGTTGCTGTCAAGTTGATTCTGACTCATAGCAACCCTATAGGACAGAGTAGAACTGCCCTAAAAAGTTTCCAAGGAGCAGCTGGTGGATTTGAACAGCCGACCTTTTGGTTACCAGTCCTGTAGGGTTGCTATGAGTCAGAATCAACTCAATGGTAACGGATTTGGTTTTACACACACACACACACACACACACACACACACAGTATATGTAGTTATACAAACAGATATTTTACATATTCTGCTTATAAAAGTACTACATGCCAATTGTAAATTTTTTATATATAATTAAAAAATGAATGTTCATTGGCCCCATCTCCTCAAATATAATCTTTATTAACAATTTAGTGTATAATATTCTAATTTTTATTTTTTTTTGTATCTGATATGTTATCACTATTTTTTTATTAGGAAAACTTAATACAATAGACACTAATTCTGAAACTTAGTTTTTTCATATAATAAAACATACAGGTATCTTATATGTCAGTAGATATAAATCTTTTTCACCCTTTTTTAATGGTTGAATATTATTCTGTCTTATAGGTATGACAACCTTGTTCACATACTTTTATTTATATGCATGAGTACCTATAGGAAATATTCTTAAAAACGAAGTTTCTGGGTCAAAGAATAATGCACATTTTCAATGTTAATGGATATTTCCAAATTGCCCTCCAAACAACTGGTTCCAAGCTTTTATTCATATTAAGTTTCAGAGAAAATAAGTGCAACTCAGCAAACATTTACTGAGTACCCACTACTTGTGATGCCCTAAGATAGGCACCTTGGGGGAGATCCAAGGTGCAGTAAAGGCAGTCACTGCCCTTAAGGAGCTTGCAATCTGGTGGGAGATTTATTTCCAGAGTAAAGGGCAGTGTGATGTGGTGGAAAGAGCACTAGACTGACAGTCCATTCTAGTCCCAGTTTTTCCACTTACTGGCTACATTGTCTTTTTCAAGTCATGCTCCCTCTCTGGGCCTCAGCTTCCCCATCTGTCAAAGGAGTAAAGTTCCTTCAGCTCTGACATGCTTTGTCTGTGAGCATGGGCCCTGCCAGCTGAACGTAATTCATGGGAGAGAGCTCAGGGTGCAAGCCTCTTTGCTCTCTATTGAACCTTTGACTTCTAGAATAGTGCTGGCCCATAGTAAACAAGCCCTCGATACATGTTTGTGGTATGAGTGGACTAATGAATGAAGCTAAGTCTCTGAAACCATGACGATAATGGAGAAGGGAAGAGCAATTTATTCATCAAATCCCTAACCTTTAAATTTATGTCTCTGAGAACATAATCCTTGAAGGAAGCAGTGTTAGGAAGCTGTGAGGCAATCCTGGACTCCCTGGGTGGTAAAAATGGTTAAGGCACTTGGCTGCTAACCTAAAGGTTTGGGTTCAAGTCCACCCAGAGGGACATAGGAAGAAAGGACTAGGGATCTACTTTCGATAAATCAGCCATTGGCAATCCTATGGTGCACAATTCTGCTGTGACACATATGGGCTCATCATGAGTCAGAATCCACTCAACAGCAACCCGTTTACTGGTAAGGAAATCTCACTTGGTTGTTGTTAGTTGCCACTGAGTCGGCCCCCACCGTTGGCGACCCGATGCACAGCAGAACTAAAGGCTGCCCGGTTCTGCACCATCCCCGCAATTGGTAGCAGAGTTTTCATTGGCTGATTTCTAGAAGTAGATTGGCAGGCCTTTCTTTCTAGTCCATCTTAGTCTAGAAGCTCTGCCGAAATCTATTCAGCATCATAGAAATCCCACTTTACGGTATGTGAAATAAATCAGTGGGACTTGGGATGAAGTAGTTAGGACAAAGTAGGTCAAGTACCATAGGCTGAACTCTTACTAAGCTCTAAGCTTTGTGCTATGTGCTGCAAGTGGTGTCTTGTTTAAACCTCACAACACTCTGAGAGGCAGGACCGTTATCATTACCCAGTTTACAAAAGAAAATAGTACTCTCAGGAACAGGTGTCATGCACCTGGTGTTACAGAGCCAGTAGGGTCAGGGTTCAAATCCAAGTCTGTCTGTCTCTAAAGGCAGTGGTCTCTCCAATACATCGAATGCCCTTCTAGGATGAAATAAAAGTCAACTCAAGAAGGGCTTTCGTCAGTTTCCCTATCTGTAAAACTGGGAGAGGGAACCGCTTCCTAGATGGATGTAGTGCACAACACTAATCAACAAAACGGTCTTCAATGTCTTCTGGTTAAATAAACTTGGGACTCCTGCATATACCCATTTCAGCAGAGACAGGCTCTGAGAGGTTCTACAATAAGGATATTATTTCAAGTTCCCCTCAGCATCTCCCACAACATATGGGCAACAGTTCCCTTTTTTATGGACTACCAATTAATATCCTTTCCACAGTATGCTTTGGGGAATGTTGGGTAAGGTGATTTCTAAAGCCACTTTGAGCTTTTTCTAAGGCCACTAATGTATTTTGGATTTGGTGATTCATTGACCCTAGGAGTGATTCAGACTATGGCACCCCTTGACCGAGAATTTATATCCTACTACTGGCTGACTGTACTAGCAGTGGACAGGGGCTCCGTGCCCCTCTCTTCGGTGACTGAAGTCTACATTGAGGTTACAGATGTCAATGACAATCCACCCCAGATGTCCAGACCTGTGTTCTACCCCTCCGTCCGGGAGGATGCACCCTTGAACACCTCTGTGCTTCACCTGGATGCCTGGGACCCAGACAACAGCTCCAACGGGAAGCTGACCTTCAACATCACCAGTGGGAACCATATGGGGTTCTTTGTTATACATCCTGTCACGGGTAAGGATCCTAGAAACCTTGGCGGTGAGGATTCTCCACAACATTGGTTCTCAAAGTGACCAGCATCATCAGCATCACCTGAGAACTTGTTAGAAGTTCATCTTCTCAGACCCCACCCTAGACCTACTAAATCAGAACTCAGGGTAGGTCCCAGCCATTGTGTTTTAATAAGCCCTCCAGGAGATTCTGATGTGTGCTAAAGTTTGAGAACCACTTTGCTCTGTAAAGTCCATCTTCATGGGAAAATGAGTAAATATTTCAGTTTTTTCTCCTTGAGGCCCAGGGAAGGTAAACAGGTTGCTCAGTGGTCAAACTGGGACTACTGTACTTCAGACCTCCACAGTGCTCCCAAATCGACCTCTCCCCTGAGTCACAAGCCACAGGTGGAATCCCTTACCCCTAGTTCCAGACTGATCTCAACCCTGCCCAGAGTGGTGGCAGTCAGGACCCACTAAAGTCAAGTGGCAGGCAATGGTAGAATTCTCACCTTCCATGCACTGCCCAATGCACCTCATGCACAGCCACCACCACCCATCTTTCAGTGCAGGCTTGTGTGTTGCTATGTTGCTGCGGAGCTTCTAGACTAAGATGGACTAGGAAGAAAGGCCTGACAATCTACTTCCAAAAATCAGACGATGAAAACCCTATGGATTACATCGGTCTGGTCCTGAGGTCGCCGTGAGTCAGAGGCTGACTTATTGGCGGCTGATAACAACAACACCAAAGTCAAAGCAACCATCTCACTAACATCTGTCCTTGGGCATAAGGCAATCTGGGGCAAGGATGGTAGATGGGTCAGATGAATCCAAATGTCACAGCCAGCAGCAGTGAGCCAGCTGCAGCCCACAGAGGTATTTTGTTTGGCTTGTACAATCTTTGAACAATTTTTTTCAATTTGTTGCCAACACTTAAAAAATAGGAAATTTCACACACACAAAGTTCCAGATGTCTGATTGTTCTTGGAAAATTGGAAGATCTGGCCACACTGACTCCATATTCCCACAGGGCCACCATTGGCTGGAGCTGACAGCAGCTCCCTATGTAGCCCAGGCACATGCTCTCTAACCCCCTCGTCCCCACCATTTCCACATTTATGCTACCTGTCTGGCTCATGTTGGCATTGGAGTTTGAGAGTCAGTGCCCACTGCTGTAAATACTTCTCAAAGCCCACATCTTCTTCTTAGGGAATGAACAGAATCTTACTGCAGAGGAGGCTGACATTCTCTCCTCTGAACTCAACATCCTACCCTCCAGGTCCAAAAATGTACTCTTGTCCCTGAAGGACAGAACTCTAGCATGATTGGAGGGAGGAGAAAGGCAGGTTGCTAGCAGGGAGTGCCCCGTCCTCAAGACAAAAGGGAACCAGGAGGAGCCATGAGCCTGAGAGTCTTGGGGCAGACAACTAGTAGGGGATACAAGTGTGTATTGGCCCATTGACATTGTCTGGAACCTTTCCTGCCAACCTTTGGCATCAGGGTATGTATGGATTAGTCCTCCTACAAAGAGGGTGCCTTTCCCTGGAATCTGGTGAACAGGTCTAAGCTGGTTTCCCTGAGTTCACCCTGTCCCTCCCCTTCAAAAGAGGGAAGAGATCTCTTACCTGAGGCATTAGTTTCTCCAAACCGTTGTTCTATTTACTGTCAACAGTTCCTTGACACCAGGTCTGGCAAAATGCCCTAGAGGGCAGAGATAGTCCTAGTCTTCCTGTAGTAGGGGAGCAGAAAACTTTTAAACATTATAAAGTAAAATAATATTTTTATTTTAATATTTTAAAATAAAAGAATGAATCAGCAATGAGGGGAAACTGGGTAAAAATCACCACCCCTTCCATCACCCACAGCCCCTCTTTCTCATCACCACCATCATATTGTCCCACATCCTACTTAGATACCTTGGATGGTTGCCCTATGCCCTTAAGATAGAGACAGATCCTGCTGTGTCCCCCAAACTTTTACTTCACCGGGACCCTGCCAACCTCTCTGGCTTCATCGTGTCCCTCTCACCCTGCCACTCTCTTGGTTATAGCCACATGGCATTCCTCAGTCCCTGCTCCCTCCTGGCACAGGGCCTTTGCACATGCTACTACTCTGTCTCCCTGGAGCCTCTTATCTCATTTTGTCTGGTTAACCTCTGCTCTTTCAGATCTCAGTCCAGCTGTTCTTTCCTTAGCGATGTTTCTCCAGATCCCATAATACAACTTCTAGCACCACCTACCCCCTTTTGTAACACTTACCGCATAGAATATCATATTTATTTGTGTGATTATCCCATTAATTATCCATGTCCTTCACTAGACTCCAAAGACTGGTTCCTAAGAAAAGAACCTTGACTGTTTTTGCCTACCATAATATCTCCAGTGCCTGGCACACAGTAGGTGCTCAATAAGTAATTGTTAAATAAATCAATCAATCTCTACCAGCATCCACAATTTTTTGTTAAGCCCAAGATTCATTCATTTATTCAGCAAATGTTTAAAAGCTTAGCTTAGCAAGGTCTTTACATGATGTGCTGTGTAGGGATGTGAAGATAAATAAAACACAGTCCCAGGCCTTGAGGAATTCAGGTCATGAGGAGCATGAAGATCTGGATATAAATAACTATAGAACCAGTGCAAAGGGGCACAACGTCATAAAAGACACGTAGATTTGGTGGTTTGGGTGCTCAGAGAGAAGAAGCTGCTCAGTGTGGCAGATCTGTGCCAGCTCCATGGACTGGGGGGCTATTATATTAAGCTGAAGGATGGGGAGAGTGTGACAGGTGGCAGACTGGGAGAGCATGGCATGAGCTTTAGCTGGGAGGGAAGACCCAGAGCTTGTTGAGTGGGTCAGTTTTCTAAAGGCATATCCCAGTTTCACCACTTATTGACTGTGAGGTCTTGGGAAAGTCACCTACCTGTTCTATGCCTCAGTTTTCTCACTGGTAAGATGGAGATAATAATCATATCTACTTCCTAGGGTGGTTGTGAAGATTCAATGAGTCAATATATAGAGATACAGAAAGAATTTAGAAGAATGACTGGGCATGTGTGTGCTCAATAAGTGTTGGCTGTCACAATGGAGCCCTGGTGGTGCAGTGGTTAAAGTGCCCTGCTGCTAACGGAAAGGTCAGTGGTTTGAACCCACTAGCTGCTCCTTAGGAGAAAGATATGGCAGTCTGCTTCTATAAAGACTTAAAGCTTTGGAAACCCTATGAGGCAGTTCTACTCCATCCTATAAGGTCACTATGAGTTGGAATTGACTCAACGGCAATGGTTTTCTGTTTTTTTTTTAATGGGTCATGGCGTTGAGGTAGGGAAGAAGGGGGAAATGAAGTAGGAAGGGTAGTTGGGGTAAGACCTAGAGTGTGGTGGATAAGGTTGAAAGGAATAGAAAGGTTAGGAACTATCAGAGATGGAATCAACAGCACTTTGAAAATTTCTGGACGACGGTGGGGAGAGAGAGGAAAGGATCAAGGACGGGCCTGACATTTCAAGCTGGAGTGATGGGGAAACATCTGTTTGGAGGAGAAAAATAATAAGCTGCTCTTGCTGTACTGTTGCTGCATAATAGTGACAGTGGGAGGTGGGTGGGAACCTCACCTGACACTACCATCTCTGCTGCAGTCTCCCACCTCCTTCCCTTCTGCTTCCTTCCCTAGAGCTCCATTTCCCCTTAACATACCTACTCTCCAAAGGACAGAAGGATTCTGCTCTAGGATTTAAATGTAATCCTTGAACTCCACCCCAGGAAAGTGGCCCTTGAAGCTCTGTGCTCATGTGTCCTCCTATCATCTTTCCCCCCAGGTCTCCTTTTCACAGCTAGGAAGCTGGACCGAGAGAACAAGGATGAACACATCCTGGAGGTTAGTGGTGGTTGGCGGAGCCATTCATTGGATTTGACTCTGGAGGTGGGAAACCTCTTGAAGGAGGCCAGGCATATGGCCACATGCCTGTCTCCAAGTGCTATGGCTGAGGAGGGAGGTGGGCTCAGGGAGGGGGAGATACTTGAGCTGAGCCTTGTTATGGTTGGTGATGGAGACACTAGGGGTCTTTGCTGGCTCTTCAGCACTGTGAAGGAATCTGAAATAATGTCTAGGCTGGGCAGGAAACATTGATTGATTAGTAATGCTTGCAGTGAGCGCAGGAAGGGAGAGTGTACGCATGTGCTAGGAACTTGTTGAGTCTGGTTTCCAGCCCATGTCCCTGGCCTAGAGAAAGAGTCACCCCACGTCAAACACAGGTGAGTAACAGAGCCAGGAAGAAAACCCAGACCTTTGTCTTCTAGGTCTGGGCTTTTTCCAGGATGTCTCTAAAATCACATAGACATCCCTGGTGCTCATTCCAATGAGAAGTGTTGGTCAGTGGGCTATAGAGGATTAAATTAGAAGGGAGGGATGTCAGGTGGGGAACCTACCGATGCCCCCTCCTGAGCTATCCATAACTGATAAACAGGTATCTCTTCTAGTCTTAAAGACCTCAGAAGGGAAGGGCATGTATTCCTCAGCTTGCCTTCTGAGCTTCCAGGCTCTGCAGATTCTCTTTCCCTTTGTAAGAAACAGGTATTATTAAAAAACAGCAGCTAACTGGCCTTCTAATGCTTCTAGGGACCAAACCATTCTCCATAATTCAGTGATAGGTATTTAATTTTTAATCACCCAAATATTTTAAAGATTCTGGACCATATTGGGTGGAAATGTCTTATCTCTTGCAATGCCTTTGGTCTATTGATATACAGGATGATTTGTCCCTGCACAAAATAACTCATGATTCTGAAATCGTTTTAGTGTCTTTCTCTCACTCTCTGGCTTTTATTTCATGCATCAGGCAGCATGTTTGACTCAAAAGTTACAACCTGCTCTTCATAAACATTTTCTCATTTGTTTTCTCTAACCTCGAGTAGGTTAAGCAAACCCAAGAACAAAGCTTACGAGAATTACAAGCAGATAAAAAGTAAATGGTCTCTAAGAAAATGGCCCATGGACCTCCCTGAGAAAAGAGTGCCAGCTTTGGCTGGAAACTCTGTAATTCTGTTTTCTTCTAGTTCTTTCTGGTTTCTTTCTCTGTTCTTACTGGCTTTCCTGTGGCCGAGGTTACTTGAGTTCCAAGTGGGTGAAGTTATGATAATAACGAGCCTACACAGAAGAAAACTAGCACATACTTCCAGGCTGTCCAGAGCACTGATAGGTTTGCGGCAGGCATTTGATGCTTTGCGTTTGGTAACTCAGGTGCTCATGCTCGATTCTGTCCCCAGGTAACCGTGCTGGACAATGGGGAGCCCCCCCTAAAGTCCACCTCCAGGGTGGTGGTGCGTGTCTTGGATGTCAACGACAACCCACCTGTGTTCTCCCACAAACTCTTCAATGTCCGCCTTCCAGAGAGGCTGAAGTTGGCGGCCCCTGGTCCTGTGTACAGGCTGGTAGCTTCAGACTTGGATGAGGGTCTTAATGGCAGGGTCACCTACACTATAGAGGAGAGTGACGAGGAGGGCTTCAGTATCGACCCAGTCACAGGCGTGGTGTCATCCAGCAACACCTTTGCAGCTGGGGAGTACAACATCCTAACAGTGAGTAGACGAACTGAGGCCCGAGGGAGGAGTGGTTTTGGTGGTTGGCGATTTTCTTGATGATGCAGGAGGGATACAGTATTCCCTTCCTGTTGTGTTGGAGGGAAGGAAGGGGGTTCTGATTTTTACTCTGTGAACACTTTATTAAAGCACAAGGGGATACTGCATGGTTTAAATTCAGCCGCTATGAGTTGGAACTGACTCGGTAGCACCTAATCAGAAAATGTGTGCATTAGGGTTGTATTCTTTCACCGTACTTATTCAGTCTGAATGCTGAGCAAATAATTCAAGAAGCTGGACTATATGAAGAAGAACAGATCATCAGGATTGGAGGAAGACTCATTAACAACCTGCAATATGCAGATGACAAAACCTTGCTTGCTGTAAGTGAGAGAACTTGAAGTACTTACTGATGAAGATCGAAGACTACAGCCTTCAAAATGGATTACACCTCCACATAAAGAAAACAAAAATCCTCACAATTGGACTAATAAGCAACATCATGATAAATGGAGAAAATATTGAACGTGTCAAGGATTTCATTTTACTTGGATCCACAGTCAACACCCATGAAAGAAATCAAATGATGCATTGCATTGGGCAAATCTGCTGCAAAAGACAATCTTTAAAGTGTTGAAAAGCAAAGATGTCGCTTTGAGGGCTAAGTGGGCCTCACCCAAGCCATGGTGTTTTTAGTTATGTCATACACATGCAAAAACTGGACAATGAATAAGGAAGACTGAAGAAGAATTGATGCCTTTGAATTACAGTGTTGGCAAAAAATATTGAATATACCCTGCACTGCCAGAAGAATGAACAAATCTGTCTCGAAAGATGTACAGCCAGAGTGCTCCTTGGAAGCGAGGATGGTGAGACTTTGGACATATTATCAGGAGGGACCAGTCCCTGGAGAAGGACATCATGCTTGGTAGAGTGGAGGGTCAGTGAAAAAGAGGAAGACCCTCAACGAGATGGATTAACACAGTGGCTGCGACAACGGGCTCAAACATAGCAACAATTGTGAGGATGGCGCAGGACCGGGCAGTGTTTCATTCTGTCGTACGTAGGGTCTTTATGAGTCAGAACAGAGTCGACATCACCTAATAACAACAACCACAGGAGGGAGACAGCCAATGGGCATGGAAGTGGTACTCCTGTCCCTGGCCGTCTCCCAGAGAAACCAGGAGTCCTGACTTTAGCCAAAGGATCAGAATTCTGGGCCTGTCACTTTAAGGGCGGTAAGACTCTTGCCTAGGAAATGTGCTCTGTTTTGAGAGATAAGGATTTTAGTGAAAGCAGCATGGAATGAAGATAAGTCCTGGTTCCAAACCTAGCCCTGACACTTTATGCCTGTGTGACTTTGGACCTTTGAGCCTTTTATCATCTGTAAAATGGGGATAAGAAGAGTTTCCTTGTAGGAAGCCAATATAGCAAGTGGCTAGGCCATGGGCTCTCATGTCAGACAGCCTGATGGAAGCCCAGCCGCATAGCCTGCCAGGCGTATAATCCCAGGCAGGTGACTTCACCATTCTGAGCCCCAGCTTCCTTCTGTGAAAGGGAAATGATAATAGTACCTCTGTCAGAGGGCTGTCATGAGGATTAAATTAGATAGTGTACATACAGCTCTTGGAACAGGGTCTGGTAATAGTGAGAGCTCAATAATTTTTAGTTTATTATGTTTATGGCTATTGGGAAGGGTAAAAGACACAATGTATACAAAATCTAATATAGGAACAAGCACACAGTCAGACTTCAATTAACAGAGCTCTTACTATGTTTTCACTAACTGTGAGGTCCTTGAGCGCAGGTTATACGTTTCGTCACAGCATGTCTGCAGCAGCTGCTGTGGTGCCTGTTTATAAGCCCTCAAGTGTGTGTTGAAAGAATGAACGAGTGGATGAGAGGTGGGCTGAGCTGGAGTTCAGGGCACTCTGTCTCTTGGCCTGGCTTTGGGGCTGCCTTGGTCTTCTTGTTTCTTAGCTCCTGCCCTCCAGACAAAACCTCAATTTCAGTTTTGGCCTCTTTTCAGATCAAGGCTACAGACAGTGGACAGCCACCGCTCTCAGCCAGTGTCAGGCTACACATCGAGTGGATCCTTCAGCCCCGGCCCTCCTCCATACCCCTGGCCTTTGAGGAGACCCACTACAGCTTTACGGTCATGGAGACGGACCCTGTGAACCACATGGTGGGGGTCATCAGTGTTGAGGGCCGTCCCGGCCTCTTCTGGTTCGACATCTCAGGTGAGAAGGGACCAAAGGCCCAGGGAGGGCCAGCATCTCTCATCCTTGTAGACCAGCTCCAGTCCTCACCATACGATCCTTCTGACCCCTCTCAAGGTCACACTCCCTGGAAGCCCCTCTCTGGCCATGAGTGGTGACCACCCCTTCCCTGGGTTCTCAGGGGCGGGGGCAACAGGAGCACTACTTCTGCCTAGCTTTCCTTTTACCCCAGCCAGAAGATGAGGATCTCAGTCCAGCACCATAATCTGCTCTCATGTCGGGTGGGACCACTGTGATCTCACTGGTAGCCCCAGCCAGAGCGGGCGGTGCCTCAGTTACCCCAAGTACTAGGGAGACCAGATGAATGATCCAGGGAGACCCAGAGGAGAAAGCACAAGATTTCTGTTTCCTCTTCTGCCTCAATGTGACAATCAGTGAAAAGCTGACTCGATGGACCATGAGCCTGAGACTACTGCCCCCTGGAACCATGCTAATGTTCTGATTCCCGAGTCCATCCTCGAGACCAAGGGGAAGGCACCCATTCTCATTTGGGGAGGCACTCGGGTCCAAATTCTTGATTTGTGTCTCTAAATCAAGGTTTTGTTTAAACAGCTGAGAGTCACAGCTGGGGAACCTGATGAATGCATAGGCTGTCTTCCCAGAAAGTGGTGCACATACACACAAACATAAATTTGCATAGCAGGCCTTCCAGGTGAAGAATCTCTAATCTAAGAGTGTTCTGCACCAGGGAGTCTTATGACAGCTTTTCCTGCCTGGCTCAGATACACTATGCACCTATGCCAAGCTCTTTGACCTCCTGGATTTACTTCCACTTCTGATTCACTGCTTTTTTGTTTCACCTTTTTTTTCCCCCTACAGAATTAATACATGTACCCTACAGAACATTTAGAAAGTACGAATGAGTGCACAGAAGAAAATAAAAATCACTGAAAGTCCCACCAGTCGGAAGATAATCCATTGTTACAATGTCAATGTTTTTCCTCCTAATCATTTTTCTTTACACATACACATGTTCCCCCCACCCACCCACACATACAGTTGTTAAAATACAGTTTTATAGCCTTTTAAAGGACATTTTTATTGAGGGGAAGTTTTAAAGTGTACGACTCACGGCATTTAGTACACTCACAATGTTGTGCAACTGTACCTCTGTTTAGTTGTAAAACATTTTTGTCACCCCAAAATAAAACTCTGTACAAACAATTACTCCCCATTCTCCTCTCCTCCCAGCAACCACCAATCTGTTTTCTGTCTCTATGGAGTTACCTATTCTGGATATTTCATATAAATGGAATCATTTATAATCTTTTTAAACAAGATGTATCATAAACATATTTGTTATATCATGAAATAGGTTCCTATTACATTTAAATAGCTGCATGGTATTCTATATTTGCGTTTTTATAGTTATAATCAATTTGCTCTTGTTGAACAGAGGGTATTTCTGTTTTTCTGCCATATAGGCTCTTTAGACTGTGCAGACTGCCTGTAAGCCATGAAGTAGAGCTCCATAACTCCTGTATGTTTCAATCCCAGTAACAGATTGAGTTCCTGGGTGAACTTTGGTCTTCCTCTGGGGCACTTCAGTCCTTACAGATTTGCTTTGTTCTGTATCATCATTTGAATCTTGTGATAATTTGACAATAATTTGACAGGTAAATTGCAGCTTTTTCGACTCCTAGGGGATAAACTACAGCTTGTCACCCAGATGTCATACTGTGTCTGAACAGCCTTAGAATCTCTGATTCAGTTTCTTCCTTAAATGCCCACAGTCCCCCTAGCCAAGTTTGGACTCTTCTACACCTCTAAATCTGATGGCCAAATCCCATATTGTACTGCTTCTGCCTAAATCATTGAGGTGTGTACTCCTTCCCCACCCCCACTCCAGGTGGGGATACGGACATGGACTTTGACATTGAGAAGACCATGGGCAGCATCATCATCGCCAGGCCCCTCGATACGCGGAGGAAGGCGAGCTACAACTTGACTGTGGAGGTGACAGATGGGTCCCACGTCATTGCCACCCAGGTGAGAAGCCTCAGTTGAGGACTTCCAAGTTGAGAGTAGAGGCTTTCTGTGGATGTGATGTCCCTCAGAGAACACTGAATCTGGCACCAAAGTTCTGGGTTTGCATCATCTGCAACACTCTGTAGTTCTGTAAACTTGAGAGAATTCTTGTTCCCATGCTGGTTCTCTCTGTAAAATGAGGGGGGCTGCTAACGAAAAGGTCAGTGGTTCGAATTCACCAGCCGCTCCTTAGAAACCCTATGTGGCAGTCCTACTCTGTCCTACAGGATCGCTATAAGTCTGAATCGACTCCACGGCAACTTTTTTTTTTTTTTTTGTCTGAATGAGTGGTTTTGAATTAAAGACAGTGCCACTGGAACTACCATGGGTATGAAGAATGATGGTTGGGTAAGTGGGGCTCTGGATTCCTACTCCAGCTCCAGCCAGAGCTTTATCTGTTTCATATATTGGGATTTCACACAACACTTCATTTGAAGAAAAGACCCATTGTTAATGTTACATACAGTATTTTTACACAAATAACACATACGTTATACTTTTTTGGCATACTGTACAACACTCCCCCCTTATTTTCATAAGCACACTATATTAATATATTTTTACATGTTGCTGACTTCAATTTCAATTTTTTTTTCCCCCTGCCAACGAATTTAATGTTAAGTCTTCGTCTTGGTGCCTGCGGATGTGGAGGTTTGGTTCCCAGCAGCAGACCCTCATAAGCCTACCCTCAAGTTTCTAAAGCTGCCCCTCCCCGGCAGGATTCCTTCCCTACTCTGCAAACTGCTTTCTCCAATGCAGGCAGAAATCACTTTTTCTGTTCCGGAAACAGCCCTCACCAGGGCGGCCAGCCCCAGCCCCAGAGGTGTGCGGGTCTGTGAACCTCAGGTCTGGACCGGCCACTCAGACACATGCCGCCCTACTTTCTAGCTGTACAGCTGTGGTGAAGCATGAGAGCCACAGGCACAGAGGGGTGGCGCGACCCTTGCTCAGATAAGACAGGTCTGACTGGCCGTCCAGGCCCCGCGGGGCTGGGGCAGTGCTGTTGGCACCAGCCCCCCACCCCCGTCACTGTTCTGCCGCCCGGCTTCACGTGGGGCCAGCACCGTGGGAGCCGGGCGCGCGCTGGCAGTGGGCCCCCATCCCCCGGGGGACCAGTCTGTGCTCGGGTTGTGGCAGCCCTGCGAAGCGCAGCCTGACCTTCCACCGGTCTCCAGCGTGAGGTAGCTGGGTGCAGATGGGCTCCAAGGGACCCCACCGCTCTCAGGCCCGGCTGCGAACTGCCCCAGAACAAACGCAGAGTTTCAATTGTTTATTTTCCGATTACTGGGGTACTACCAAACTCCAGCAGCCCTGGTGGCAGAGTGGTTAAGAACCTGGCTGCTAACCAAATGTCGGCTTTTCGGATCCACCAGTGGCTCTTTGGAAGCTCTATGGGGTAGTTCTATTCTGTCCTATAGGGTTATGACTCAGAATCCACTTGTCAGCAATGGGTTTGGTTTTTTTGATTACCAGACTCAATCCATGACTTCTTGATCACGCCTTATACCTTTATTTTACAAATATGATCATTTTCAGATTATTTAATGAGGGTGAATGAGGCTGAAATTCACTTCTGAAAGTATCACAAGATGTGCATGGTATATGCTTGGGCATACTGTGCCAGAACTTTTAACATAATTTTGTCATTTCGGCGTGTTATATGTGCAGGTGTATTATTTACTTGGTCATGCGATTTTTGAAAAAATGCTACATATGTATACATATATGTATGCATAGATATAAACCTTGGAAGCCCTATGGGGCAGGAATCAACTCCACAGCAATGGATTATATATATATATATATATATATATAAAACCACTAGACTGTAGCATCTAAAAGCCTTGGGATTTGGAAAATTTATTATTCATTCAACAAGTATTCATGGAGTGCTTGCTGTGTGCTAGGCACTGAGAATGCAATGAAGAACCAGACAGACAAAGTCCCTGCCCGCATGAAGCTTACAGTCTACCTTCTCTCTCACTGTCCGGCCTAGGTCTATATTTTCATGGTAGCCAACATTAACCACCATCGGCCCCAGTTTCTGGAGTCTCATTATGAGGTCAGAGTTCCCCAGGACACACTGCCAGGCGTTGAGCTGCTCCAAGTCCAGGCCACAGATCAAGACAAGGGCAAGGGTCTCATCTACACCATACATGGCAGCCAAGACCCCAGAAGTGCCAGCCTCTTCCAGCTTGACCCGAGCAGTGGTGTCTTGGTAACTGTGGGGAAACTGGACCTGGGCTCGGGGCCCTCCAAGCACACACTGACGGTTATGGTGAGTAAACTGAAAAGTTGGTGAGATTGTACTTACATGCAGGTGCATGGGGGTGGACACAATTGGAGATATGCTGAAGGTTCCCTCTCAACTGATGAGCCAGGTGTACTAGTGCCCATAAGGATAATCCGCGAGATACAGCAGTGGCATTTCAGAGCTGGCCAGAGGGACCTTCCATAAGGAATGCCTCGGAGTGAGGATAGAGATGAGACAGCTGCCAAGGAAACTCTTGTCAACCTTTGTTTTCTTTGGACCCACCCCAAATATCTCCCAACAATCCTCTCCCTGCTTCATGACTTCATGACCTCAATAGTGGATTCATATAGTTTCAGAGCTGGAAGGGGTCCAGGGACCATCTCACCCAGAGTAAGGCGAGGGAGCCCTGTAGGGCACAAAATTTAAAGAGGTACTCATTCTCAGGGCTGTGCAAGTGCAGGCACGTGACGTGGAGAGTGAGTGCCTCCTTAAATTTTGTGCCCATGCAGCTTGCTTGCCTCACTCTAGTTCCAGGCCTGATCCCATTTCTCTTATTTTACCAGAGGCCCACAGAAAAGAGACTTGCCCACAGAGTCAGTTATTTATGATGGAACCAGAATCAGAGTGCAACCTTCCTGACTCCAGGTTCAGGGTTTTTATGTGTTAGTTTATTCTCCTCTGGGGACATTAATATATTTAATATAATTAATGAAAAGTTTTACAGCAAAGAAAACTGTTTAACTTAACTCAGTGCTCCCCAAATTTACTTGGCCATATGTCTGAGTCTCATAGTGCTGCTGTAACAAAAAATGCCACGAATGGGTGGCTTTAAAGACAGAAATTCATTTCCTCACAGTTCTGGAGGCTAGAAGTCCAAATTCAGGCCGTGGCTCTAGCGGGAAATCTTTTATGTTGGTAGCCCCAGGAGTTCTTTGGTGTTCCTTGGCATTCATTGGCATTCCTTGGTGTTTCTTGGCATCTGTCTTCCCCCTGTGTATGTCTGTGTCTATTCTGCTCTTTTTATAACGCAGAAGGGATTAGGTTTAGGACTCATCCTACTCTGATGTGACCTCATTAACACAACAAGAGAAAAATCCTATTTCCAAACAGGATCACATTCACAGGTACAGGGGCCAAGACTTCAGTATATATTTTCAGGGGGATGCAATTCAATCCATAACATCATAGAACTTTTTTTTTTTTTTCCTGCATAACATGTTAACATCTTGAAGAACTAATATTCTTGGAGGCCTAATTTGGGAAATACTGAATTAAGCATGCTTTTCTGCTTGTGTCTGCCTTTCTCCTAAAGTGGAATTATCCATTAAAATAGCTAAGCCTAATAGTCACTAATGGGAGTCCTGGTAGCACAGTGGTTAAGAGCTTGGCTGCTAACCAAAAGGTCGGCTTTTTGGATCCACCAGCTGTTCCTTGGAAACCCTATGGGGCAGTTCTATTCTGTCCTATAGAGTCACTATGAGTTGGAATCAACTCTACAGCAAGGGGTATAGTTTTTTTTTTTTAAATAACCACTAATTGCTAAATTTATTAAAAAAGAAAAAAGAGCATAAATTGCAGCAACAATCAAAGGAATGCAGACAGTTACAATTAGGTATATTTTTCATTGCCATTCTATTTCGTTGTCCTTAAGCTAACCCTGCTTCCTCCTATACCATTTGTGGCTCACTTCATGCTCCCTTGGGCCCATAGGTTCGAGACCAGGAAATGCTGATAAAGAGGAACTTTGTGTGGGTGACCATCCATGTGGAGGATGGAAACCTCCACCCACCCCACTTCACCCAGCTCCACTATGAGGCAAGTGTCCCTGACACCACACCCCCTGGCACAGATCTGCTACAGGTCCGAGCCATAGATGAGGACCGGGGAGCCAATGCTGAGGTCTACTACTCTCTCCAGAAAGGTGAGAGGCCTGGCCGTGTGTTCAGAATATGGGTGAGGATGCTTTGGGAATAAGGGAAAGCACCAGAGGCATGATTTCACAAATGAATCAAGTTTCAAGCTCTCTAGTATGCTCTGGCAAATTATAGTTCTAGAGCATTCCACAGAACTATAATGACCTAAGTTAGTGCACTTCCAAAGATGGTAATAACCTAATAACAAAGGCACTAACTCAAGTTATGGGAGAATTTACATATACATTATAGAAACCTACCTCCCTCTACAAGTGTAGAAGCTGCTTATGAAGTCCGTGCAGTGTTTTCAAATGTAATAACTTTGTGCACGTACAGTAGAATCAACCAGTTGCCATCGAGTCGACTCCAACTCATGGTGACCCCAAGTCTGTCAGAATACAACTGTGCTCCACAGGGGTTTCAATAGTTGATTTTTGGGAAGTAGATCGCCAGGCCTTTCTTCCAAGTCACCTCTGGGTGGTCTTGAACGTCCAGCATTTTGGTTGCTAGCTGAACGCATGAGCCGTTTACACCACCCAGGGACTCCATATACAATAGAAGGGACCTGTAAATACTTTATAAAGTGCATGGCATAATTTTAGGAGTAACTTTCATTTTCTACTAATGCCACATCATTATTTAGCATCTATTATATGGTTTTCTTTATCTCAAAAATGGGAATAATATTACCTGTGCCACAAAGTCTTTGTAAAAATTGAAAGAGAAAATGCATGTCAATATATGTCATAAACTATAAAATACCACACAAATGCCAAGGGTTATTATTACCATTGATAAGTGTTAATTATCGGTAATTAATGTAACAAAAATGATAATAACCAGAATTCAACTAATTATTAGTGATAATTTATGATGGCTGATAATGCATAATTAATATTTAATAATAATAATTAATGCTTCATAGAGCTAGACGTTGTGGAGGGACAAACATGAATCTGACTTGCTTTCTGCCCTCATAGAGCAAAATGTTTCATTTATTGCTTGTTAGTTTCTTACACACTTTCAGTAAATCAGAGCTTTTTTAAAATTTTCTTTTTTGAAGAAACGGAAGTTGTTCTACCTTGCCAGATGGTGGAAATCTATTCATCCCTGAAAAATAATACTACAAATGATAATCCATTAATTGTTTGCTTTTTGTGGTTTATAACATATAATCACAACTTTTATCTCATTAATAACACTGTTGATGGAGGTAATAATTTTATTTCACAGATAAGATTGTTTTAAAAGTATGTTTCTGGTTATATAAGTAGCACGTGCTCATTTTCAAAAATATGGAAAATACAGAAATACATAAAGAAGAAAATAGCATTCAGTCATAATTTTTATTACCCAGAGATAGTAATTTTGTGTATTTCCCTCTCATCTTTTTTCTATGCATCTTTTTGCGTCATTGAGATCATAATGAATATACAAATTTGTGCCCCAATTTTTTTATCTCATCAGTATAACATAAGAAATTACGATATTATTTAGGTAGTTTACATGACCACTTTTAATGGAACAGCTTTAAACCTGCTGCTAAACTCCTTGAAGCTACGTTCTTTGACTTAATTAGCATCTATATGACAAAAGTAAATTGAGAAATCACCTAAGGAGGGAGGTGGTGCAAACAGTTAACGTGATCTACTGCTAACTGAAAGGTTGGAGGTTCAAGCCCACCCAGAAGTGTCTTGGAAGAAAGTCCTGGCAATCAGCTTCCAAAAAATCAGCCATTGAAAACTCTGTGGAGCACAGTTCTACTCTGATACACATGGAGTCACCATGAGTCAGTGTTAACTGGTTTAGTCAGCTGGAGAAAGATTTCAAAGAGTTGAAGAATCAGATTGGATGTTTTACGATGAAGCTCAGCTATTTACTCTGCCATTGAAATGATAAATATGCACCCGTGTGACAAAGGAAATAAGAACAGTAGAGAACAATATTTTCCCCCTTGTGTAAGACCTGTACCTCTAGTAGTGAGCAAAGTTATTCAGGTGTTACTCAGTCATGGCGTTAAATAGGTCATCAGGCGTGGGGAAAGTCTTTTTGATTTTCATTCTGGCCTCCTGATTTCATCAAGAGCGAAGCCTCAGTTGGGTACTAGAATGTCTTTACATCTTCTCTAACACTTGCTACTCTTTCTTTTTACTGAAGAAAGAGAATAGGTCTCAGGCTCAGACCTTTAGCAAGCAATAGACTTTATCCAGATTTTAACAAGGTACTTTAATTCATTGCCTTATTTTTACGGTAACTTTCCATTTACAGCAAGCAGTAATGGTTTTCTTTATTAGGCAATAATATGAAGTTGCTTTTAAAAAATATTTATTAAATTTAAAAAGTAAATACACTTAAAGAAAATTTTCAATTGAAAACAGTATAAAATAGCATAGATAGTGATTGGATATTGAAAAAAATGGAAAGGTGATGTAAGAATGCCTGAATTTCAGAAAATATAGGCATTGTGGAAAGTGCACTTGACCAGAAGCCTCATGATTTGGATGCTCTATTCAGTTCCTCTCCACTCCACACCTTGCCACTCACTCCCCAAGCCTGGCAAAGAATTTTCCCATCACAGACCATAAGGGGAACAGACAACATGGTTTTTAAAGCCCTGTCAGTTTTGACAGTTTATGACTCCATATTTATCATCTATTAAGTACATAACCAAAGGTATTAAAAATCATAATTACATCGAGTTTGGTTAAAAATTCTGTAGCTTTTCCAGTGAGTGTCACCACTGACATACAGGCTGGAGCGTACTTTTTTAATAAAGCATAAGTCTCCTTTCTTTCTTTGCTTCAAAGACATACTACAGCTTTGGTTTGTGGCTTGAGTCCTAGAGATGTAATGATAATTGATGCTGCCATTTATGGAGCACCTACTATGTGCACAGTGTTGGGAATTTGAATACTATGTATATACCCTAGGGAGTCCCTGGGTGGTGCAAACTGTTAAGTGTCCGGCTGCTAACCAAAAGATTGGAGGTTTGATTTCACCCAGAGGAGCCTTGGAGGAAAGGCCTGGTGATCTACTTCTGAAAAAATCAGCCATTGGAAACCCTATGGAGCACAGTTCTACTTTGACACACATGAGGTTGTCATAAGTGGGAATCAACTCCGTGGCAACTTTTTTTTTTAAAAAATATATCCCATAAACCAAAACCAAACTTGTTACTGTCGAGTCAATTCTGACTCATAGCGACCTTATAGGACAGAGTAGAACTGCCCTGTAAGGTTTACGAAGCTGTAATCTTTATGGAAGCAGACTGCCATATCTTTCTCCTTTGGAGTGGCTGGTGGGTTTGAATTGTTGACTTTTCAGTTAGCAGCTGAACGCTTTAACCACCGTGCCACCAGGGCTCCTTATAGTCACTACACCATGCTAAATCCAGAATGGCACAGAATGCAGATTTGGCCCTATCCAAATTTTGTGTGATAGCCTCTTTACTCATCTAAAATGACTAGTTGGTATGTCTTGAGGGTGTGATAAGCTTCAGTTTTTGTCTTGTTTTCTGTTTCAGGGAACAGCGAGGGTTTCTTCAGGGTCAATGCCCTACTAGGCATCATCACTGTAGCCCAGAAACTCAATCAGGCAAATCATGGCCGGCACACTCTGACAGTGAAGGCGGAAGATCAAGGCTCCCCACAGCGTCATGACCTGGCTACAGTGGTCATTCACGTCTACCCCTCACATAGCAGTGCCCCCATCTTTTCAAAAGCTGAGTACTTTGTAGAAATCCCTGAATTAATTCCTGTTGGCTCCCCGATCCTTCTTGTCTCAGCTACAAGCTACTCTGAAGTCACCTATGAGTTAAGAGAGGGAAACAAGAATGGTGTATTTTCCATGAACTCATATTCTGGCCTCATCTCCACCCAGAAGAGCTTGGACCATGAGAAAATCTCATCTTACCAGTTGAAAATCCGAGGCAGCAATATGGCAGGTGCGTCAGCTGATGTCATGGTGCTTGTTTACATAATTGATGAAAATGACAATGCACCCATGTTCTCAAAGCTGACTTTTGTGGGCCAAATTAGTGAAGCTGCCCCATTGCACAGCATGGTTATGGATGAGAACAACAGCCCCTTTGTGATTCGTGCCACTGACAGTGACAAAGAAGCTAATTCCTTGCTGGTCTATAAAATCTTGGAGCCAGAAGCCTCGAAGTTTTTCAAAATTGATCCCAGCATGGGAACGCTGACCACTGTATCAGAGATGGATTACGAGAGCACGCCTTCTTTCCAATTCAGTGTCTATGTCCATGACCAAGGAAACCCCATCTTATTTGCACCCAGGCCTGCCCAGGTCATTATCAATGTCAGAGACGTGAATGACTCTCCTCCCAGGTTCTTAGACTCGATATATGAAGTAGCAGTTGTCGGACCCACCCATCAGGGAATGGAACTCCTCGTGGTGCAGGCCAGTGACGATGACTCAGAAATCACTTATAGCATCAAAACTGGCAATGCTGATGAAGCTGTCACCATCCATCCCATCACTGGCCTCATATCTGTACTGAATCCTGCTTTCTTGGGACTCTCTCGGGAGCTCACCATCAGAGCTTCTGATGGCCTGTATCACGACACTGCGCTGGTAAAAATTACTTTGACCCAAGCCCTCAACACAAGCTTACAATTTGATCAGGATGTCTACAGGGCAGCAGTAAAGGAGAACTTGCAGAACAGGAAGGCACTGGTGATTCTTGGTGTCCAAGGCAATCACTTGAACGATACCCTTTCCTACTTCCTCTTGAATGGCACAGATATGTTTTGTATGATCAGGTCAGCAGGTGTGTTGCAGACAAGAGGTGTGGCGTTTGACCGGGAGCAGCAGGACATTCATGAGGTGGCTGTGGAAGTGAGAGACAATCGGACCCCTCAGCGGGTGGCTCAGGCTGTGGTCAGAGTTTCTGTTGAGGATGTCAATGACAATCCCCCTGAATTTCAGCATCTGCCCTACTACACCATCATCCAAGATGGCACAGAACCAGGGGATGTCCTGTTTCAGGTATCTGCCACTGATCAGGACTTGGGGGTAAGTGGGGTTGTCACATATGCATTTGCAGAAGATTACACATATTTCCGAATTGACCCCTACCTTGGGGACATATCACTTAAAAAACCCTTTGATTATAAAGCTTTAAATAAGTATCGCCTCAAAGTCATTGCTCGGGATAGAGGAACCCCATCCCTCCAGAGTGAGGAAGAGGTCCTTGTCACTGTGAGAAATAAATCCAACCCTTTGTTTCAGAGTCCTTACTACAAAGTCAGAGTACCTGAAAATATTACACTCTATACCCCAATCCTCCACACCCAGGCCCGGAGCCCAGAGGGACTCCGGCTCATCTACAACATTGTAGAGGAAGAGCCCTTGATGTTGTTCACCACTGACTTCAAGACTGGTGTCCTAACGGTGACAGGACCTTTGGACTATGAGTCTAAGACCAAACACATATTCACAGTCAGAGCCACAGATACAGCTCTGGGGTCATTTTCTGAAGCCACAGTGGAAGTCCTGGTTGAGGACATCAATGATAACCCTCCCACTTTCTCCCAATTGGTCTACACCACTTCAGTCTCAGAAGGCTTGCCTGCTCAAACCCCTGTGATCCAACTGTTGGCTTCTGACCAGGACTCAGGGCAGAACCGTGATGTCTCCTATCAGATTGTGGAGGATGGGTCGGATGTTTCCAAATTCTTCCAAATCAATGGGAGTACAGGAGAAATGTCCACAGTTCAAGAGTTGGATTATGAAGCTCAACAACACTTTCACGTGAAGGTCAGGGCCATGGATAGAGGAGACCCTCCACTCACTGGTGAAACCCTTGTGGTTGTCAATGTTTCTGACATCAATGACAACCCCCCAGAGTTCCAGCAACCCCAGTATGAGGCCAATGTCAGTGAGCTAGCAACCTGTGGACACTTGGTTCTCAAAGTCCAAGCTCTTGACCCTGACAGCAGGGACACCTCCTGCCTGGAGTATCTGATTCTTTCTGGCAATGAGGACCGGCACTTCTCCATTAATAGTTCATCAGGAATCATTTCGATGTTCAACCTTTGCAAAAAGCACCTGGACTCTTCTTACAAATTGAGGGTAGGTGCTTCTGATGGGGTCTTCCGAACAGTTGTGCCAGTGTATATCAACACTACAAATGCAAACAAGTACAACCCAGAGTTCCAGCAGCATGTTTATGAGGCAGAATTAGCAGAAAATGCAAAGGTGGGAACCAAGGTTATCGAGTTGCTAGCCATAGACAAAGATAGTGGTCCCTATGGCACTGTAGATTATACCATCATCAACAAACTAGCAGGTGAGAAGTTCTCCATAAACCCAAGTGGCCAGATCACCACTCTGCAGAAACTAGATCGGGAAAACTCAACAGAAAGAGTCATTGCTATCAAGGTCATGGCTCGGGATGGAGGAGGAAGAGTGGCCTTCTGCACTGTGAAGATCATCCTCACAGATGAAAATGACAACCCTCCACAGTTCAAAGCATCTGAGTACACTGTGTCCATTCAGTCCAATGTCAGTAAGGACTACCCAGTCATCCAGGTGCTGGCCTATGATGCAGATGAAGGTCGGAATGCAGATGTCACTTACTCAGTGGACTCAATGGAGGACCTGGCTGAAGAGGTTATTGAGGTCAACCCAACCACTGGTGTTATCAAGGTGAAAGAGAGCCTGGTGGGATTGGAAAACCGAGCGTTTGACTTCAAAATCAAAGCCCAAGATGGGGGCCCTCCTCACTGGGACTCACTGGTACCAGTACAACTTCAGGTGGTTTCTAATGAAGCACCCTTGCCCAAATTTTCTGAGCCCCTGTATACTTTCTCTGCATCTGAAGATCTTCCAGAAGGTTATGATATTGGCCTTGTTAAAGCAGTGGCTGCTCAAGATCCAGTCATCTACAGTCTAGTGCAGGGCACCACACCAGAGAGCAACAAGGATGGTGTCTTCTCCTTGGACCGAAACACAGGGGTCTTAAAGGTGAGGAAGGCCATGGACTATGAGTCCACCAAGTGGTACCAGATTGATGTCATGGCACATTGCTCCCATAAGGACACTGACTTGGTCTCCTTGGTCTCCATTAACATCCAAGTGAAGGATGTCAATGACAACAGGCCTATTTTTGAGGCTGATCCATATAAGGCCTTCCTCACTGAGAATATGCCAGTAGGGACCACAGTAATTCAAGTGACTGCCAATGACCAGGACACTGGGAGTGATGGCCAAGTGAGCTACAGACTGGCAGTGGACCCTGGTAGCAATGTCCATGAGCTCTTTGCCATTGACAGTGAGAGTGGCTGGATCACCACCCTCCAGGAACTTGACAGCGAGACCCGCCAGACCTACTGCTTTTATGTGGTGGCCTATGACCATGGCCGGACCCTCCAGCTGTCTTCTCAAGCACTGATCGAGGTTTCCATCACAGATGAGAATGACAATGCTCCCCGATTTGCTTCTGAAGACTACAGAGGATTCGTGGTTGAGAATAGTGAACCTGGTGAACTTGTGGCCACCCTGAAGACTCTGGATGATGATATCTCTGAGCAGAACAGACAGGTCACCTGCTACATCACAGGTAAGGATACTTGTCTTAGATTGAAAGCACTGGGGTGCATCGACAAAAGTTCAGTAAGAGGGGCCCTAATACATGGCTGTAAGTCCTGGCTCTGCCACTTATTGACACTGTAACCTTTGGTAAGTCACTTAACCTTCCAGTATCTCAGTTGTCCATCTATAGACTTAGCATTCCTTTTCTCATTCATCTCTCAGGGATGCTGGTAAAATCTAACTGGAGAAATCTCTGTTCTTCCCCCTATAAATTGGGGAGGGTTTATTATTTTAGGTGGTGCAAAGAGGAGGCTTTATTATTTTAAGTCATATAGATGGACTAGAAGGCCAGTTAGCTTCCAGGAGCTGGAGGAGAGGCCAACAGTTGTGTAATCCATGGAAACTGACAGATGACTGGCTTTGTAGAGTGCTGTCCTGCTCAGGGCAAATTGTGGATAATAGAAAATACTTCTTAGTCTGTCACAGGAGCAAAACATTGGAATAACAATACTTCCTTAGATAGAATTACAGTCCAATCCCCTCATTTCTCTGACGGGGGAACCAAGGCCTAGACAGGGGGAGAAACTCAACCAAGGTCACACCTGAGCTTGCATCAGGGCTGGGATTAAAACCACACCTTGCAATTGCCTTCCGTAGTGGCTCCCTGTCACAAACCCAAATTACGCACTCCCTGTTCAATGGCTGGACCCGGTAACCAGTGGCCACAAGACTTTCTTTACTTCTCAGCGTCCTTTCCCTCCCCTCCCCAGGTACTTGTCATTCCATTCCCATCAACATGGCTCCTTCTGCTATCACAGCTGTCTGGGGCAGAGTTAATAAGCCTGAAGGTCCAACTAAGAATCCTAGCCACCTGGGCACAGACAGGATCAGAGCATTTGAAACACAGAGTTTTAGGAAAATCGAATCTTATCGTCTTATACTGTCAGACTCTTAAAAACATGAAGGTCTTAAAATCTCAGGATAATAATATAATAAAAGTCAATCATAAAAAAAGTTAATCATAGACTCTTGGAATAATTGCATCTTGGAACTCTGGAACTCTTAGGATCTCAGAGTGAAAAAATCTGTCTTCCCACCCTCCTGTTAGTGACTGGTGTCAAGGAAAGATGACTTAGATACAAACCCAATGCTCCTACTTAACCTTCATTTAGTCTGTGTCCTTAGCTGTAAAATAAAACCTTAGAGAGTTTAGTGCTGTTGATTACTTCGCCTCTCCACTGTTGCACAACTCTTAATGTTAGAAAGTTCTTGTATAGACTTGAAATATGCTTACCTTTAACTTCCCCCGATGCCTTCCAGGCCACAAAAGTCAGAAACCTATCCTCAGCCACATCATTTGGAGTGGTGCTTCTCAGTGATAGTTCTATTTTAACAGGAGGCTTTCAAAGCCAGAAGCAGCTTCACAACACCAAAGAACTGACTCAGTGTAGAATTTTGGATACTGTCTTGGTCATCTAGGGCTGCTATAACAGAAATACCACAAGTGGATGGCTTTAACAAAGAGAAATTTATTTTCTCACAGTCTAGTAGGCTAGAAGTCCAAATTCAAAGTGTCAGCTCCAGGGGAAGGCTTTCTCTCTCTGTCAGCTCCGGAAAAAGGTCCTTGTCATCAATCTTTTCGTTGGTCTAGGAGCTTCTCTGTGCAGAAGCTCAGGTCCAAAGGACATGCTCTGCTTCCAGTGCTGCTTTTTTGGTTGTATTAGGTCCCCATGTCTCTCTGCTTGCTTCTCTCTTTTATACCTCAGAAGAGATTGGCTTAAAACAGTATCTAATCTTGTAGATGTCATCAATATAACTGTCACTAATTCATCTCATTACATCATAGTAATAGGATTTACAACACATAAGGAAATCACATCAGATGACAAAATGGCAGACAATCATACAATACTGGGAATCATGACCTAGCCAAGTTGACAGACGTTTTTGGGGGACAAAATTCAATCCATGACAGATACCTAGAAGGCCATTAATAAGCCCTGGCTGCCCAGTGGTTAAGCGCTCAGCTGCTAACCTAAAGGTAGCAGTTTGAATCCACCAGCATCCCCTTGGGAGAAAGATGGCAGTCTGCTTCCGTAAAGATTATAGCCTTGGAAACCCTATGGGGCAGTTCTACTCTGTCCTATAGGGTTATTCTGAGTTAGAATTGACTTGATGGCAATGAGATTTTTTGTTGTTGTTGTTATTAGAAGGTCATTGGTAGTCCTTGGGTGGCACAAACAGTTAAGCACTTGGCCACTAACCATTAGGTTGATGGTTTGAACCTACCCAGAGGTGCCTCAGAAGAAAGGCCTAGGATCTGTTTCTGAAAACTCAGAATTGACTCGACAGCAACTGACATTTTGGTAGAATGCCATTATGAAGCACTGGTGGTTCAGTGGTAGAATTCTTGCCCTTCATGCGGAAGACCCAGGTTCAATTCCTGGCCAATGCACCTCATGCACAGTCACCATCTGTCTCTTAGTGGTGGACTGTGTTGCTATGATGCTGAACAGGTGTCAGCAGAGCTTCCAGACTAAGTCAGACTAAGAAGAAAGACCTGCAATCTACTTCTGAAAATCAGCCAGTGAAAACCCTATAAGTCACAATGGTTCCATCCATAACCGATTATGGGGATGATGCGGGACCGGGTAGCATTTAATTCCATCGTGCGTGGGGCTTCCATGAGTCGGGGGCTGACTCAATGCCAGCTAACAACAGCAACAGAAGGCCATTCAGGGAGAAATGTTTCCCTCTCCCAGCAATCCTGATGTCAGGTGGGCTGCCACCTGTGACACATGATTTGTTCCTGTTGCTTGGCTTCTGAAAGCTCTGTGCTATCTTTTCAGAGGGCGACCCTCTAGGCCAGTTTGGCATCAGCCAAGTGGAGGATGAGTGGAGGATTTTCTCAAGGAAGACCCTGGACCGCGAGCTTGTGGCCAAGTACTTGCTCAGCGTTACAGCCTCTGACGGCAAATTCCAGGCTTCAGTCCCCGTGGAGATCTTTGTCCTGGACATCAATGATAACAGCCCCCAGTGCTCACAGGTGAGAGTCTGGTATGAGGTGGGGGTGCAAGTGGAGGCAAGGAAGCTGGAGAGAAGGATTAGAGGAAGGAGAAAGATCCAGGGGACCACTTCTGAGGCTGGCCATCATTGACCACACCTGCCCTTACCGCCCAGCTGGCCTCGGACTAGTGCCCTGGAGCAGGGGTTATTCTCGGCAATTCCTTAATCTCCATAGAGACCATTTGTCCACATCTCCCCTCCTCCACTCACTACGAGGGTCCAGTTTCTCTGCAAAATATATCCAGAAGTAAAGTAACTTCTGCATTCTCCAAACACACACTGCCATGCCTAGTGGGCAAACCCACCTCCACTGCTCAGCTTCTTGGCATGGCTCACTATTATCAAATGCATCCAGAGAGACATGCCCCCAGAGATGCCCGTCCGTCCATCCCCGTATATGCGTATCCCCACATCTGCATGAGAAATACAGACCAATACAGATGTCCTCCTTCAGGTTATAGACAGGCACATAAACATGCAGACAGGGTAGTTACCTGTTTGGTACAGGATACTTTCCTAAAGGCCTCATGCAATTCAATGCGGAACTTCCCATAGGAACAAATGTTGAGCGGTGTGTGTGTGTGTGTGTGTGTGTGTAGGAATTACGTTCTTAGAGGGGCATAAACTGAGAGTTGTTGTTGCATAGCTTTGCTTATAAACATTTTTGTTTTAATGCAGCAAATAATTTTTAACTTGGGGGGATTTACCAATGACGTTAAAGTATTAATATTTTAATTGAACATCACAAACTAGCATATTTCAAATTTGCATAAAATTTAGCCATTTAGTATATATACATAAATGCACACTTATACATACACATATACACATACACAAAGGATCATCTACAACCCTACATACACACACAGATACCTATATGTACAGTCACAAATAAGCATATATCTATAGACCCACAACTTTTATCCATATGTATAGCCACCTACACATGCAAATATGCATTTATGATACACAGCCATCCACATACATAATTGCACACATTTCTGTACACATACCTTCTTGGACAACATACTTACATATAATTTACATGTATACATATGTACTTCCACATATTTGCACACAGATATGTAGATATATATATATACACACACATATACATATACATACAGTTGCATACTCTGGAACAACACAGATATATCCCATCACCCTTTCTTTCTCTGTATTCTACACTCCAGTCACATTAGGCATAGTAGGAAAAGAAAACCTGGATTATCAGGATGTATGGAAAATGTCGCAGGATCCAAACTTCTGAGTGGTCTCAGAAGGGCAGCCTTTGTGGGGAGAATGGTGGCCATGGCTTGTTCCTGTTTCTCCCTAGGTCATCCTTACAACCAGCCTGCATCCTCCCATGCCCTGGCAGCAGCCCTGTGGCCAACAGTATCAGTAGAGTCAGGGAAAAAGCACTCACAGGGGCACAAGACCTCCACCCAGAGCACGTTCAAGGGTCTGTGCTCACTCACACCTGCTAGTGGTGGAGACTGGGGTGCTTGGAAGCTGAGCCCAGAGCCAACAGCTAAGGAGAATTGGGTTCTCTGGGCCTCCCTGCCTCTCCCCTGTGCCATGCCCCCAGCCATCCCATGATAGTACCTGCAGTGGACGGAGGGTGAGGCAGGTGATGAGGGCCACTGGGGTCCAGACCTGACTCAAACAGCCAAGGGTCTGTCCTGGGGTGTGGACAGGGAGGTGAGCACACAGCCTGACCCTCCCACTGAGGCAGGAGAATAGCCTTGACCTCCCATCTGCAGGAATGCCCATCCCATCCACCTCCTGCAGAGGCCGAAAAGACCCCTGTGGCATAGGCCGCAGAGGCCCTCCGGCCCTGGTATATGCTCTTGGAGGGTGGAGCTGCTCTCTGTTTCTCTGACTTTTCTGACTAGTTTTCTCATCAGCCTTCTGCTTGTTTTTGTCTTCTTTTACCTTGTATGTTTCATCTTTTCTCCTTCTGTTCCCCTCACTTCTATCTGCTTCTCTCTCTCTCTGCACTTCTTTCTCTGTCACCCTCTGCCCTGTTAACTCTCTCTGCTTCTGGTTTCCCTCTCAGTCACTCTGCCTCTCTCTGGGCCTGAGTGTACCTCTCACCGTCTCCCTGTTCTTTGTCTTCCCATCTCCAGCTTCTCTATGCCGGCAAAGTAAGTGAAGATGTAGCTCCGGGACATTTCATTCTGAAAGTTTCTGCAACAGACTTGGACACTGACGCCAACGCTCAGATCACGTATTCTCTCCATGGTCCCGGGTCCGAGGAGTTCAAGCTGGACGCCTATTCAGGTGGGTTTCCTGAGCTGCAAGATCGAGCCAAGAACTTATTTACTGAATGCCAAGTGTCCAGCACCCTGGTAGGCTCCTTGGAGAAGAAGCAGCAGAGGTTCACTTATCCATCCATCGACTCAGCAAATATATACCGAGGACCCACTCTGTGTCAAGCATTGCACTAGATGCTGGAGACATAATCAACAGACCACAAGACAAGATTGGGGTCTTTATAATCTAGTGAGAAACGCAGACATTGGATGATTGGTTTGAAATGCGCTGAGTTAAGAAATACAGGGTGCTAAGGGGACGTTTGATAGGTGGCCTTGACTTAGGCTTGGGAGGGGGTTAGGTGAAAATTCTCTGAGGAAATGCTATTATACGTGTGATTGGAGAACATATAGAAGTTATCTGGGGGTAAGGCAGTAATAGGGAAGGGCATTCAAGCAGAAAGGAGAATTTATACAAGGGACCTGTGTCTGAAACAGCATAGCCCCTCTGAGGAGCCTGGGGTACAGAGGGTGAGGGGAGGGGCAAGGGATGAGGCCCTCAGGGTGGGCAGGGCCAACTCCCACCTTAGAGCCCTGGAGGGTTTAGGCAGATGAGTGTCATGGTCAAGGATATGATCCCTGCTTTCCAGATGGTTATGCTGTCAGTTGGGGAAAAACCTCATAGGACTTTTGTGAGGCTTGTGAGAGGTAAAGCAGGTGGAGGCCTAAGCCAGGCCTGGCACATGATAAGAAGTCAATACAGAGTGGCTGCCATGATGGTCATTATTAGTTAAGGGACAAAGCCCCCAGGAGGCAGAGAGCCCTGCAGGGAGGCCATGAATATCTAGAAGTCAGGCTGTGAGAGGCAGGTGGAGAGGACAGGGTGGGGCCTGCTTCCAGTGGAAGAGCAACCCCAGAAGGGGTGGGGCCCCTGTCCTACCACTGTAGGGGAGGATGTAGGGTGGTGGAGCACAGAAGTTCCAAGCCACAGAGGGCCAGCTGCCAACACTTGGCAGTAGCTCAAAGCATGCCTTGGAGATTCCTGGGCACGGAGGTAGCTGGTGAGAGTGGTGTCCTTCCTGACCTCAGCATGGGCATGCTGAGTGACCCCAGGCAGATTACCTAACCTCTCTCTGCTGCTGTTTGTTCAGCTGCAGGATGGATTGGTGGGGTCTTTAAAAAAAAAAAAAAAAAAAACTCGGTGGTTTTTGTGAATATGGAAATAATACATGCTCATTGTACAAAACTGCAAACAATGTGTGTTTGAATGAATGTTTTCAAATTATGCAGAAACTGGAAAGTCCCCATAATACTTCCCCCCTCACCACCAAAGATAAGCACCATTGGTATATGTTCTATCAGACTGGTTTTCCATGCATCTCCAAAATCTCTATGTAACTATTTCACAAAAATGGAATGCTAGCTTGTGAGTTGCTTTTTTCACTTAGTAATATCTTGGAGATCTAAACAAGACAGTACATAAAACTCAATTATAATTCCTTTGTAGTTGCACGGTATTTTACTGTATGGCTCACTCATAAAATACTTAACCAGTCCTTTTTTGAGGGTCATGTAGGTTGATCTTAATATGTTGCTATTGTAAAAAATGCTTCAGAGAATATCCTTATGCACATATTTTTATCCTTGGGTTAATTATTCTATAGGATACATTCCTAGAAATGAAATTATGGGCCAAGGGTAATATATTTTATATGTTGTTAGAAATTGCCTAATTGCCCTTTAAAAATTTTGTGCCTATTTGTAGTTTGTTGATGAGAATTTAAAGTGGTGATTGTGGTGGTGGAATGTGTTTGGGAGAATTAGGGATACAAGAGGGAGTGAGAAGATACAGGCTGAGCCTCCTTCCTGACTGTAAATACACAAGATCTACCCCTTTCCTCTGTGACAAAACCTCGTGTGTCTGGGTAGATATTTAGAGGCACATACTGAGGTATGTCCCCAAAGAAAGCTTACCTGCTCTCGTTTCTCTGGCCAGGGGAGCTGACCACGCTTACAGCGTTAGACCGTGAGAAGAAGGATGTGTACAACCTTGTTGCCAAGGCAACAGATGGAGGCGGCCGGTCATGCCAGGCAGATGTGACCCTCCACGTGGAGGACGTGAATGACAATGCCCCACGGTTCTTCCCCAGCCACTGTTCTGTGGCTGTCTTCGACAACACCACAGTTAAGACCCCCGTGGCTGTGGTATTTGCCCGGGATCCTGACCAGGGTAAGTCCGAGAAGGGATTGGCGGCCACTTCTGCTCTGCCATTAGCTCCTGGGGTCACCTTGGGTGGGAGTCTTGCTCTTTCTGTGTTTCTCTTGGACTAATGGCTGTGCCTCCTCTCTGAGTAGATGGACACTTGAAAGTGGAAAACGTTTGTCAACAGACTGAAGATATAAGAACCATGTAGCAAAACATTTTAGCAATCTTTGTGAGGCAGATACAGGACACTTCATCCTCATTGTTTCTACCTGGTCACCCAGACCTGCGGGCGTTTCAGTCCTGCCATTTAACCTCAAGGGCATTTTGCTTATAAAATTTGTTAATCAGAAACATACCAATCACAATTATTTCAACTCAATTTACCATGAGAAAGAACCTTTTAAGTCTATTGAATTTCTTGATGAATTTTCTATATAGTGAACTTGAATCATTTTCAGTATTTTCCATTTTAATGTTATTGATGTTATTTTCATTGGGATTAATTGTTTTCTTTGAAAAGTTACAAGGCAAATTGAAGTTATCAATGTGCTTCTCTACCATATTATACCAATTATAGCTTCTGCCATCATAAAGTGGTTTGTGTGTGTATATATATATATACACACACGTATACATATATCTAATTTTCCTGGGTCAAATTTTATAATTCAGGTAGGGCAAAAAAATACAGCCAGTCCAACATAGATTGATAATGATAATAATAATAATATAATAAAAGTGGAATCAAAGTGCCCTGCTTTGTTTGACACCAGCAGGGTAAATTTAAGACTCCTAGAGGAAGTGATGGGGCCCTGATGGCGAAGTGGTTAAGAGCTCAGGCTGCTAACCAAAAGGTTGGCAGTTGGAATCCACCAGCCACTCCTTGGAAACCTACAGGGTCGCTGTGAGTCAGAATTGACTTGATGGCAATGGGTTTGGGGTTTTTAGAGGAAGTGAGTTTTAGCCTGACTTTGAAGGAGGTGAGAAATTTTGGAGGGATACAGGTGTTCTAGAAACGCAAATAGTGCAAAGGCAGGAGATCTAGACCTAGGAAACCTCTGTGTTTGTGTGTGTGTGTGTGTGTCAAGGGGTTAACATTACAAGTGGACAGGCATAGCTGGGTTTGGTAGGAAGGATCCAGAATGCACCAGAGCTGGAGAGACCCAAAAGCAATTTCATCTAACCCTTCACCTAATGGCTGCAAGGCCCTCTACTGGCCCAATTAACCACAGCTTGCACACCTCCAGAGACAGGAAGCTCCCTACTTTCTAAGCAGCCATTTTTTTCCTCAGCACTTCAGATCAAGTGCTGCTTATTGGAGTTGGCCTCTGTCAGTCCTGGTCCTGACCTCTGCAGCCACACAGCTCTCCTCCAGGAAAAGCCTCCAGGTGGTACCTATCTGCTCCAGCCCCAAGCTTCCCTTTCTGGGTGGAGCAGCCCTGGCTCCTTCAAGCTCATGGTTCCAATCCCACCTCCCCTCTTGGGCACATCCTCTGGCCTTGCATCAGTTTGCCATTAACACTTCAAAACTACTTGTACTCTAACTCAAATAGTCCACCCAGATGTTCCAGGTGCAGCCTGACCAGCAGGTCTCTTTCTAGAAAAATTATGGTCTCTCCAGGAAAATGCATTTATGGGATTTCCATGGTGTATGTATTAACTTATATGCATTCAGCTATTCGTACAGAAAATTTCTGCCATCACTCCCCCAAAGGGGCATGTGTCCTTGTGTATTTGAGATGTGAGACCCATAGGCTCAGGGCCTGTGTTCCTCCCACTGGGTAAGGATTTCACAGCTGAGCACTAAATGTTGGTATTTTCGTACACTGTGGCCAGCTACTTCATCTGGGATAACCAAAGAAATTAATATACTCAGAGCCAAAGCTAGAGAAACACTAAGTGTGTGTTTTGGTTTACTAGGAACATTCCATGGGTGTGTGTGTGTGTTAAGTTTTCATTCTGACATAATATAGTCTCATAGGAAGTTACAAAAATAGTATTGAGTCTCATGCACGCTTCACCCAGCTTTTGTGAATGGTAACATCTTATAGCTGTAGTTTAATATCAAAATCAGAAAACTGGCATTGGTATAGTACTGTTAATAAGCCTTCAGGCCTTAATCAGATTTCATCAGTTTTTACGTGTGCTCATTTGTGTGTCTGTGCACGTGTGTATGTGTGTGTGTACGTATGTTTTTATGTGTGTATAGTTCTAGGCAATATTACCCCAGGTGTGAGTTCATGTAACCACCACCACTATCAAGATGCAGAGCTGATCCATCACAACCAAGGAATTCGCCATGGGTGGTTTTGATCTTGCACAATTTTCACTTCAGAGCTGACACTGGACTCTAACCTTCATGTAACATTTTCAGATAAGTTGATAGATTTACAGACTGGCCTCTCAAGAACTTTTCTTTCTAAGGGAGCTTGAACCACCCCCCACCTTCAGTCAAGAACCCCTGCTTGAGAGATTTTTACTCAGTACACCAAAAAAAAAAAAAAAATTGCCATCAAATCTATTCTGACTCATGGCGACTCTGTGTGTCAGAGTAAAACTGTGCTGCATAGGGTTTTCAGTGGCTGATTTTTCAGAAGTAGACTGTCAGGCCTTTCTTCCGAGGCACCCCTGGGTGGACTTGAACCTCCAATCTTCCGGTTAGCAGCTGGGCACGGTAACCTTTTGCACTGTATTAAAACAAACAAACAAAAACCCGGTGCCGTCAATTCCGACTCATAGCGACCCTATAGGCCAGAGCAGAACTGCTCCATAGGGTTTCCAGGAAGCAGCTGATAAATTCAAACCGCGGACCTTTTTGGTTAGCAGCCAAGCTCGTAACCACTGCACCACTAGGGCTCCTTGGCACTATTAGGAGTTGCTAAGTGGTGATTTTTTTAATCCTATCATTCCTCATTCATTTACTAACTGCCCCACAGGGTTTCCAATGGCTGTAATCTTTATGAAAGCAGATCATCAGGCCTATACAGTGCCACTGGGTAGGTTTGAACTGCCAACATTTAGATTAGTAAAAAAACCAAAACCAAAACCGTTGCCATCGAGTCGATTCCAACTCATAGCGACCTTATAGGACAGGGTCGCTGTAGGGTGCCCTGTAGGGTTTCCAAGGAGTGGCTGGTGGATTCAAACTGCCGACTTTTTGGTTAGCAGCTAAGCTCTTAATCACTGCGCCACCAAGGTTTCCTTCAGGTTAGTAGTCGAGTGCAAACCACTTGCAGCACCCACTCAATATACCCTAAGCATATTAGCCTTTTCAGGGGAGCCCTACCCCAAGCCCTCCTGTGGCTGGAGGGTTTGCTGCAGGCAGGGCCAGAGGAGGATCCTCAGTGTGAATCATACCTCCATCTCCCCCACAGGCACCAATGCCCAGGTGGTTTACTCTCTGACGGGATCTGCCCAAGGCCACTTTTCCATTGAGGCTACCACGGGCGTGATCAGGCTGGAGAAGCCTCTGCGAGACAGGCCACAGGCTGTGCTGGAGCTCACGGTCCGTGCCTCTGACCTGGGCACCCCGACACCCCTCTCCACGCTGGGCACCGTCACAGTCTCCGTGGTGGGCCTGGAAGACTACCTGCCTGTCTTCCTTAGCACCGAGCACAACGTGCGGGTGCCTGAGAACGCCCATCCCGGCACAGAGGTGCTGCATCTGGCCACCCTCACTCGGCCGGGCGCTGAGAAGACAAACTACCGCATCGTCAGTGGGAACGAGCAGGGCAGGTTCCGCCTGCATGCTCACACAGGTGAGCCAGCGCACAAGCCAGCCCACGCATGCACACACACGTATGTACTTGCTCACGCGCCCTGAGAGAGAACGGGATGTTGAGCAGACTTCTCACGGCCATTTCTCCGCTCTTGTGTCTGTCCACGTACCAGGTCCCTTCTTCCACCCTAGGCCCACCTGATTTGGGAGCCTTCCCTGTTCACCCAAGTTCCCATCCAGGACTCTGCACAGGGCCCTTGGGGACCCACCTTCTCCCACAGTTTGAGGCTTCATGGCCTCAGCTCAGGCCCACTCCAGGAGGCTGAGGCCAATCTCCCTCCTGGGCCGTGAGATCACGAATCACTGCTGGAAGCTGGTTCTTCTGCAGCCCAAGATAAGGCTGCCTGCTTCCCTCCAAGAGCCCTCCCCCAAAACACTCTAGTGCCTGTAAATGTTCCCTCCCTCTCACGGAGAGAGAGGGAAGTGGGAAACCATCTCTCTTTCCTCACAGCAGAACAGTCTAAGCCAGACTCACAGGGTCTCATGGAATGGGTGCTCCCTACTTCCTAAAACAGCCACCTTACTGTTGAGCAGTATTTTTAATGAGTTTTTATTATAGAAATTTAAAACACGTACAAAAGTAGAGAGAACCCCGTAATGAGCCCCATGTTCCCATCACCAGCTTCCCATCAGTAATTATCTACATATGGCCAGTCCGGTTTCATCTTTACCCTTCACCCCCACACCCACTCATTAATGAGTTATTTTAAAGCAAATCCCAGACATCCTATCATTTCATCCACAAATGCTTCAGTAGGTATCTCTTAAACAATTTCCAGTTGCCATTGAGTTGACTCCTACTCATGGTGACCCCATGTGTGTCAGGCAGCATTGTGCTCTACAGGGTTTCAGTGGCTGATTATTCAGAAGTAGATCACCAGGCCTTTCTTCCGAGGCACCTCTGGGTGGACTCGAACCGCCAACCTTTTAGTTAGCAACTGGGTTCATTAACTGTTTGCACCATTTCAAGCCAAAAAAACCCATAGCCGTCAAATCGATTCCAACCCGTAGCGACCCATAGGATTTCCAAGGCTATAAATCTTTATGGAAGCAGACTGCCACATCTTTCTCCCACAGGTCCACTGGTGGTTTCGAACTGCTGACCTTTTGGTTAGTAAGTCGGTCACTTTAACAACTGCTCTACCAGGGCTCCTTTTTGCACCATTAAAAACCAAAAAAAAACCAAACTCGTTGCCATCAAGTTGATTCCAACACTTAGCAACCCTATAGGACAGGGTAGAACTGCCCCCATAGCGTTTCCAAGGAGTGGCTGGTGGATTCAAACTGCTGACCTTTTGGTTGGCAGCTATAGCTCACCATAGCTCTTAACCACTGCTCCACCAGGGCTCCTTTTGCACCATTAGGAGTTACAAAATGGTGATTTTCTAATCCTATCATTCCTCATTCATTTACTAACTGGAATTCTTTTATAAAGGTGAATTTTCCACCAATAGCTATTTGGCTATCCAGGAAAGGCAGGATAGGTCCTTATTCTTTACTTTGTCTATTCCAGTTTTCAGAATAATGCCCTAACAGAGAGGTTGAACAACTTTGACTATTATTAAGTTCATTTTATAACCTAAACTCTGTCATTTACTAGCTGGTGAGCTTGGACAAGTCACTTACCTGTAAGGAACATCAGTTGACTCACCTAGAAAATGGGAATAATAACAATTGTTCTTGTTCCACAGGGTTATTATAGATTTAAGTGAGATAAATTTAATATTACAGATTTAAATGAGATTTAAATGGCATATTGCAGAAATAAATAAGGGGAAAACACTGCTACTGGGAATGATAATAATGAAGATGAGAGGAGGAGATGGAGGGGGAGGGAGAAGGGGAGGGGAGGTGGAGGCAGAGGGGATAAGGAGATCTGTCTCTCCCAGCTCTATTGAGCTGCCTCTCCTGGGTTATTGCTCAAGATCCCTCAGTCCTCTTCCTTTGTGGTTCCAACGGCCGCATTGCTCCATCACCTCTTGTTTCCTCAGGGATCCTATATGTCAACAGGAGCTTGGACTTTGAGACAAGCCCCAAGTACTTCCTGTCCATCGAGTGTAGCCGGAAGGCCTCTTCCTCCCTCAGTGACATGACCACAATCGTGGTCAACATCACTGATGTCAACGAACACCAGCCCAGGTTCCCCCAGGACCTGTACAGCGTGAGGGTCTTGGAGAACGCCATCGTGGGGGACATCATCCTCACAGTAAGGACCCCAGCTTTGCTCTTTGTGGGGCATGGACTCAGGGATGGATTCTTGTCTCCTTCCCCAACCCCCAGTCAGCCATGAGCATGGTTTCGTTTTTCAAATTAATACACTACGAACTTGACTCTGACTCCTAGCCACTCAGTCAAACTGCTTCTCATGACAGAGTATCTCAGAGCCATGTTGGGTAAGACTGGATGCTGATAGAGTGGAACATGGTATAGCCAAGCTTTGATAGGAGAGGAAAGAGAAGAGATAGGCCCCAGGGGGCTGCCAGAGGCTCCAAAGCCCGAGAAGGGCCTGGTCAAAGCGAGTGACATGGAGTGCCAGTGAGTGGGGGAAGGGGGCTGGGGGAACACTAAATAACACCTCTTTGCATTAAACATGTCATTGCTCCCTACTGTGATGGAGTGAAACCAAGCTCCATATGCCCATATTCAGGTTCTCTGTGACCCTCTTCAGTCTGCCTCCCAGTCTTAGCTCCTTCCACTCCTTATAATCCCATGCACCCTACATTTCAATCACACAGGAAGCTACACACCTTTCCCCAAACATCCTCTGCATTTTCACACCTCCTCCGGGCTCATACTGTTTTCTCTGCCTGGAAAGTCTGCTCCACTCCCCAGAGCCCTATTTATCCTTTGGGGCTTCATAAATCCTTTTCTAATCTCCCCAGGTGGAATTTATCACTGTGTTCTTTGTGCTCAAATACTTTGCCCCAAATTAGAGTTACCCATAATATCAGACATTACACTTCCTGGGGACATATTCAGTCTGGCACATTCCTCCCACCTAACACAAGATCTAGCATCCTGTCAGTATGAGTGAACGAAGGAATGGATAAATGAATGAACTGTGGCATGCTGGAGCCCATACTAGGATGTGAATGAAGAGATTCTCTTGGCAGGGATGATTGTGCTCCAAGGACTGCCAACTCAATGCAATGGGCAGGGATATATCTGTAGTCTCTATACTCCTAGGGGCCAGGATTCCTTTCTGGTCCCTCATGCCCCCCATTCACAGCCCACCTCCCTCCTCTGCAGGTGACAGCAACCGATGAAGATGGACCCCTCAATAGTGTCATCACCTATAGCCTGGTAGGAGGGAACCAGCTTGGGCACTTCACTGTCCACCCCAAGACAGGAGCCCTACAGGTGGCCAAGGCCCTGGACTGGGAGCAGGTGAGTCATGGGGGAGTGCTCTACCTGACCTCACCAGAGCAGAGAGATGGCCCCACTGTGGGCCCGGACGATGATCTCAGTCAATGTCCAGTCTTCACCACTTCCCCAGATCTGCCTGGGGAGCCTCCCACTTGTGTTCCCTGCGGGGCCTCTGTGGGATGGGAGGCCAGAGGCAGGGAGGGGCTGAGTGACACTTAACCTTCCCCTGAGGGGCTCAGGCCAGCTTCTCACTATTGACCAGGGATCATTACATTATGACAATAATAGCCACCGTTTACTGAGCACTTGTTCTGTGCCAGGCACTTTGCTAAATGCGTTACATGCATTGTTCCATTTGATCCTCAAACTAATCCTAGTAAGTGGGTCTAGATATTATCCTCAGAGAGGTTTAGCCACTTGTCCAATGTCATACAGCTAGTAAGTGGTTGAGCTGAAAATCACATCTATTTCTATCTCCAGAACCTGAGCCCCAAAATACTATGGGGTGGGCAACGGGGCCAGGCATAGGGTAGTGTCTCCATCTTATTTTCCCAAAAATATTAGCTGTAAGGCGGGAGTAGAAATGAGGGGCTCATTGCTAACTCTCCACTGGGCATCTTGGGACAGACTTCTAGCTACTTGCTGAGGCTCCGAGCCACAGACAGTGGACAGCCCCCACTCCATGAGGACACAGATATCGACATCCAAGTGGTTGATGTCAACGATAATTCGCCTAGATTCTTCCAGCTCAACTACAGCACCACCGTCCAGGTATGATCAAGCTTCCAGAGACACCCTGAGGCCAGCCTTCCTTCTTTTCCTTCCTAGTAGAGGGTGCTAACCAGTGGTATCAATCCACCAAACAAGTCCACTTTGCCCACTGATATTCCCAAAGGCAACACACCTGTGGATTATGGAATTAAAAAAAAAAACCAGGCATTGTGTTAGGCACTTCCACAACCATTATCTTATGTGGGGCTCACAACAACCATATGAAGTAGATAGTACCCATTTTACAGATTTATAAAATGGAGACACAAAAAAGTGCCGTAGCTAGAATGTGGCAAACTCAGAATTTAAACCCAGGAGGCTTTCCAGATTCCAAGCTATTTCTACCATACCAGTGGTATGCAAAAGATATTTGGAGAGAGCCTTGGGATTCTATATGGAGTTGTCAGGAACTATAAGGGATGAGGGAGATAAAAAAGTGGACAATAAGGCAGAGTACCGTGCCCTACTCTGCTTCAACCAGGGCTGCTCTACTTTTACCTGTTTTATATATTATGAGTCTGAGTAAGGATGCTTTGGCTGAGAATAACAGAATATCTGACTAAAAGTGCATTAAATAATAAAGATTTATTATTTCATATAACAAGAGGGCTGATGATGGGCAGTTTCATTCCAGAATTGGTTATTTCAGCAGGAAAATGATGTCAGGGCTCTGGGTCATTTTCTTTGGAATTCCCTTGCCTTCTCCCTCATGGTTGCAAGATGGCTGTTGCAGCTCCAAGCATCACATCCTTGCCTAACCATCTTCAAAGGCAAACAGAAAGGGGCTTCTCTTGAACAGTCTGGTTTTGTTTTGTTTTTAATTTTAACTCTGAGGAAAGTTTATTACAATATATAGAAGAACCTAACACATGATAGGAGCCTTGGTGGCGTAGTCGTTAAGAGCTCAGCTGCTAACTAAAAAGTCAGCAGTTCAAATCCACCAGCTGCTCCTTGAAAATCCTGTGGGGCAGTTCTGCTCTGTCCTATAGGATCGCTGTGACTCGGAACCAACTTGACAGCACCTAACAACAACAACAACACATGATAAAGAATATAATACCAATCAATGGAAAAATCATGTTATTCAAAGTTTGATTTTGAGAAGACTGAATCTTTGGATAAAAAGCAAGTTAGAGCTGCACATAACACCAAAACCAAAATAAGCAGTGGATAAAGAGTTAAATTTAAAAATGATATCATCTTTAATAAATTCAGAGAAAATATTGCTTAATATTTAGCTGGCATCTATATGGGGAAGGTCTTTATAAGCATAAAGGCAATGCAACAAAAGCATAAAGGAAAAATGTTGATTTGATTACATAAAACTATAAAACATTTGTATGACCAAAATCAACGTAGAATTTTAGAACACTTAAAATTCTACCCCCACCATCACCCATAAAGAAGGGCAGATACAGCCATTGCCTTTGTTTTGGATGGGTTACTGATAGGCGGAAGGAGAGGTTTGGAGGGGTTAGATCATGGGATCGTTGAATGCAGAGCTGGTAATCAGTCCAAGTGCATAGATATGGCCATATCCATTATGAAAATGTTGGTCTATAATATCTCCTGCATGGCGCCTCACCTTCGCTCCCTGAAGAATCTGTTCTTATCAAAGAAGACATCTTTTCAGAACCCCTACCTGGTAGACTTCTCCAGGGTCAGAACTGGATTACATGCTTTCTTGGTTACCTAGTGCTGCCGTAACAAGAAATACCACAAGTGGGTGGCTTTAAAGAAACTAAATTTATTTCTCACAGTTCTGGGGGCTAAAAGTCCAAATCAAGGTCTCAGCTGTGTTGATTCCTTCTGTGGGCCTTTCTTCTAGTTTCTGGAGTTTACTGGTAATCCTGGACATTCCTTTGCTGGTAGACAGATCCTCATATGGTGTGCCTTCCCCCTCTGTGTGTGTGTGTCTGTGTCTATTTTACTGTTTTCATAAGACACCACTCAGAAGGGTTTAGGTTTTGACCCACCCTACTCTGGTATGACCCCATTAACATAACAAAAGTAACCCCCTACCTCCAAATAGGGTCATATTTACAGGTACAGGGGTTGGGACTTTCACATATCTTTTTGGGGGACTTAATTCAATCCATAACACATGCTCACCCATAAACCAAACACTGGCACAGGGAATCAGATTATTAAAGCTGATTTAGACCAATCATAGTCCATCTCTTCTTAGGAGGGCCACATCTTCTCGGAGGATATTGCCACTTCACACCTGCACAAAATCAGGGTTTGTAAGGATGGAAGGGAGGATGGCTGCTGGATAGGCAACCATCCATTTCTGACCATAAGATTCTGTTTATAGATAAAATGTTGATGCTAGAAAGACAGTTTAACAACCATTGTGTTAGCGAATACAGAATTCCCTTGTTAGAGAACGAAGACTGAAATGATACCCAGGGGATCTAGTTTTCGTAGTTGAATCCCTAATCATGTCTGAATTTCTCACTGAATGTGTGTGGCATTGGTCCTCTTTGCAGGAAATCATTTATAGGTGTTCAATTTACCCTGCAAGTTATAAAATTCCCACATGAATCCCAAAACCAAACACCAAACTAGTTGCCATTGAGTCGATTCCTACTTGTGGTGACCCCATATGTGCAGAGTAGAACTGCACTCCATGGGGTTTTCAAGGCTGTGACCTGTCAGAAGCAGATCACCAGGCCTTTCTTTTGAGGCGCCTCAGGGTGGGTTCGAACCACCAACCTTTCAGTTAGTAGTCAAGCACTTAACTGATTGTGCCACCCAGGGTCTCCTTAATTGGATCTCAGACACTAATTTCTATACATGACTCATCAGCTGTGTGAGCTTGGGCAAGTCACCACTCTGTGTAATAAAGAGTAGAACCTTCTGGTCTCTAAGGACCCTTCAAGCCCCAGTGGACTGTATTTCTAAGACCCAGCACTGCCCTGAGGGAGCTGAGCTCCTCGTGAAGACTGACAAAAGTTACCAACTAACTCAAAGGCGAGGCAGAAAGGTGAGCGTGAACTTGAGGTCCAAGCATAGCCTGGGAGCAGTCAGAGTGCCCAGCATTCTCCCAGCCGAGGGGATCCAGGGAGACGTGAGAAGACGGACCGGGACTCATTTTGCTCTTTCGTTTCCTGTCATTTTCTGTCTCAGGAAAACTCCCCAGTCGGCAGCAAAGTCCTGCAGCTGATCCTGAGTGACCCGGACTCCCCAGAGAATGGCCCCCCCTACTCATTCCGAATCACCAAGGGGAACATCGGCTTTGCCTTCCACGTGACCCCAGATGGGTGGCTGGTAACCACTGCGGGCCTGAGCAGGAGGGTACAGGAATGGTATGAGCTTCAGATCGAGGTGAGAGCTGTGCTGGGCCACTGGTAGTGGCCTTGGGGACAGTAAATGTGCTGGTAAAAGCACTACCAGTGCTTCTATGATTAGGAAAAAAGTGTACAGAGCACTCGTTTTGTGCCAGGACTGGGCTACGTGCTTCCTGTGCATCATTGCATCAAATCCTCCCAGCATTCTTTAAGGCTGGTATCACCCCCACTTTACAGAAAAGAAAACTGAGACACAGAGAGCGTAAGTGACTGGCTTAAAGTAGTACTGCTAATAAGCGGCAGAGGTAGTTTCTTCAAACCCAAGTGCTCTGATCCCAGAGTCCCAGTGCTTAATCCCCGCACTGCGCCCAGGCAGAACGCCCACACTCTGGCTCTACCTCCTTGAGTTTGGCCAAGGCAGCTCTCTGAACCTCCTGTGCTAACAAGACCTCCCTCACGGAATTCTGTAGGACCCAGATGAGAGCGTGTTTATGCATGCGTGTGGGGTCATGGTTGTGATAGTATGAGAATTCCCCAAGGAACAGCGGCCAAGATGGTGGTCAGACATCTCTCCATTGCTTTACTCTTCCCCAATCTCTGTTCTAAGTCTCCAGTCCAGCAGACCCTACTATACTGCTAACCCTTCTGGGCTGGGGATGATGTATTGGTCCACTGATAGTTATTCATTCATTCATTTATTCACTCAGCGTTTCAAGAAATATTTATTGAACACTCACCATATTCCAGGTCTTATGCTAGCTGCTAAGAATATAGCAGAGGACAAGAATGGTCCCCGTTCTCCTGGGTTTCTCATTCTAAGGATGGTGATAAACAACAAACAGATGAAGAAAGAAATATCTTTATAACTTATGATAAAGAAATAAAATGATGAAAGACTCATATACACACGGGACGCAAGTATTCAGAAGGGAGCTGCCTCTGTGAAAAGGTGACATTTGAGCTGAGCTCTGAGGGGCCAGTCATGTGAAAGGTGGGCAGGAGAGTGTACCAGGCAGAAAGGACAAGCTGAGCCACGTTCTGAGTTGGGAAAAGCTTGAAGTGACCTAAGACGAGGCTCAGGTGGTAAGAGCACAGTGAGCATTGTGGGAGTGATGCTGAGGAGGTGGGCTGGGCCGGTCACAGAGACCTCACAGCGAGGGTGACCATCTTATTTGAAGTCCAAACTGTGACACTCTTGAGAGTGTGAGAGGCACTAAAAATAACTAATTGATCCACAACAGGTGAAAATTGTGACTATCCTGGGTAAACCTAATTATAAAACCTGCTGCTGTTGAGTTGATTCCAACTCATGGCAACCCCACGTGGTACAGACTAGAATTGCTTCATAGGGTTTTCTTGGCTGTAATCTTTATAGAAGCAGATCACCAGGCCTTTCTTCTGTGGCACTGCCGGGTGGGTTTGAACTGCCAACCTTTCCACTAGTAGTTGAGCACAAACCGTTTGTACCACCCAGGGACCTAACCTAATTATAGGCCGTGGTAAAACGTTTGGATTCTAATCTAAGTGTAATGAGAAGTTGTTGAAGGTTCTCAAGAAGGGAAGTGACCACTCTTGTGTGTCAGGAGCTCATTTTTGAAGTTTTGTAAAGAATTGAAGGGGCGAGAGTGGTTGAGGGAGGCCCATGAGAAGGCATCCCAGCTTGAGACAGTAGGACTGGGACCTTGGAGGTGATGGTGAAGATTCAAGAAGTGGACAGATGTGGGATGTAATTTGGATGCACATAGACAGGAGTTAGTGATGGACTGGATAAGGGCAAGGGAGGGGAAGGAAGGACCTCCAGATTCCCAGCTCCAGTAAAGAGTAGGTGGTAGTGCCATTTATGAGACTGGGAAGACTGTAGACGTAGGAGTGAGGACAGGCTTATGAGGTGAAATAAGGGCTTTGTTTTGCAACCTTTGTCTCAGGTTTCCCAAGACATCTAAGTCCAATGGGTACTTGGGAACAGGAGTCTGTAGCTCAAAGGGCAAGTGTAGTTACTTTATTTCCTTATCATAATTTGCAAAGATGTAAAGATGATGTATCAATCCACTCAACCAATCAGTCAATCTTTCAACAAATATTTATCGAGCTCCTGCCATATTCTGGGTCCTATGCTAGCTGCTAGGAATATAGTAGAGGACAAGAAACCCATGCTTTGAGAACCATAGAGATGGTTGCATGGATGCATTTGTCTCAGGAGAGATGAGAGAGAGCAGCTTCCTGGCCTCTGTATTCTCAGTTCAGGCACAGGGCCTGCCCCACAAGGGCGCTCAGAAACTACATCACCAGTGCCTCTTGTGTTTGTCCTGTATTTCCACTTCTACTCATTGTGGGGCACTATAGACCAGCAAAACACAAACAAAAAAACCCACAGGCTGTGTCTGGACACTGATCCCTGGGTGGTTCAAACAGTTAAGTGCTTGGCTGATAAGTGAAGGTTTGAGTCTGCCCAGAGGCACCTGGGAGAAAGATCTGATGATCTACTTTTGAAAAATCAGCCATTCAAAATCCCCATGGAACATAGTTCTACTCTGACATATACGGAGTCACCACGAGTCAGAATTCTCTTGCTGGAGACTGATTTTTTTTTTTTAAATCGTACTTTAGATGAAGGTTTACAGAACTAGTTTCTTATTAAACGCTTAGTACACATATTGTTTTATGACATTGGTTAACAACCCCACGACATGCCAACACTCTCCCCTCTCGACCTTAAAACCAAAACCAAACCCATTGCCATCGAGTCGATTCCGACTCATAGTGACCTTATAGGGCAGAGTAGAACTGCCCCATAGGGTTTCCAAGGAGCACCTGGTGGATTTGAACTGCCGACCTTTTGGTTAGCAGCTGAACTCTTAACCACTATGTCAGCAGGGTTTCCCTTGACCTTGGGTTCCCTATTATCAGCTTTCCTGTCCCCTCCTGCCTTCTAGTCCTTGTCTCTGGGCTGGTGTGCCCCGTTAGTCCCGTTTTGTTTTATGGGCCTATCTAATCTTTGGCTGAAGAGTGAACCTCCGGAGTGACTTCATTACTGAGCTAAAAAGGTGTCCAGGGGCCATACTCTCGGGGTTTCTCCAGTCTCTGTCAGGCCAGTAAGTCTGGTCTTTTTTTGTGAGTTAGAATTTTGTTCTACATTTTTCTCCAGCTCTGTCCAGGACCCTCTATTGTGATCTCTGTCAGAGCAGTCAGTTGTCGTAGCCGGGCACCATCTAGTTGTACTGGACTCACTCTGGTGGAGGCCATGGTAGATGTGTCCATTAGTCTTTGGACTAACCTTCCCCTTGTATTTTTAGTTTTCTTCATTCTCCCTTGCTCCCGAAGGGGTGAGACCAGTGGAGTATTTTGTCTTAGATGGCTGCTCACAGTCTTTTAAGACCCCAGATGCCACTCACCAAAGTAGAATGTAGAACATTTTCTTTATAAACTATGTTATGCCAATTAAGCTAGATGTTCCGAGACCATGGTCCCCACAGCCCTCAGCCAGCAGTTTGGTCCCTCAGGGAGTTTGGATGTGTTTATGGAGCTTCCATGACCTTGCCTTGTACAAGTTGTGCTGGCTTCCCCAGTATTGTGTGCTGTCTTACCCTTCACCAAAGTTATCACTTACCTATTGTCTATTTAGTCTTTCCATCCCTACACCTCTCCTCCCTCGTAACCATCAAAGATTGTTTGTGTGTAAACCTTTTCATGAGTTTTTACAGTAGTGGTCTCATACAATATTTGTCCTTTTGTGATTGACTTATTTCATTCAGCATAATGCCCTCCAGTTCCACCCATGTTATGAGATTCTTCACAGATTCATCATTGTTCTTTATCGTTGCGTAATACTCCATTGTGTGTATATACCATAGTTTATCTATTCATCTAGGTTGTTTCCATCTTTTTGCTATTGTGAACAATGCTGCAATGAACATGGGTGTGCATATGTTTATTCGTGTGACAACTCTTATTTCTCTAGGATATATTCCTAGGAGTGGGAATGCTGGATCGTATGGTATTTCTGTATCCAGCTTTCTAAGGAAGCGCCATATTATTTTCCAAAATGGTTGTATCATTTTGCATTCCTACCAGCAGTGCATAAGAGTTCTGATCTCCCTGCAGCCTCTCCAACATTTGTTATTTCCTGTTTTTTGATTCATGCCAGTAATGCCAGGGTGAGATGGTATCTCATTGAGGTTTTGATTTGCATTTCTCTAATGGCTGATCACGAGCATTTCCTCATGTGTCTGTTGGCCACTTGAATGTCTTCTTTGGTGAAGTGTCTGTTCATTTCCTTTGCCCATGTTTTAATTGGATTATTTGTCTTTTTGCTGTAGAGGTGTTGGATTTTCTTGTAGATTTTAGAGATCAGACCTTTGTCTGATTTGTAATAACCAACATTTTTTTCCCAGTCTGTAGATTCTCTTTTTACTCTTTTGGTGAAGTCTTTTAATGAGCATAAGTGTTTAATTTTTAGAAGATCCGAGTTATCTACGTTATCTTCTGGAGTTTGTGTGTTGTTGGTTATCGTTTATACCCTGTTAATGCTGTGTATTAGGGCCTCTAGTTTTGATCCAATATTTTCTTCTTCTATGAACTTTATAGTTTTTGGCTTTATATTTAGGTCTTTGATCCATTTTGAATTAGTTTTTGTGTATGGTGTGAGGTATGGGTCCTGTTTCATTTTTTTGCAGATGGACATCCAGTTTTTCCAGCACCATTTGTTAAAAGGACTGTCTTTTCCACATTTGATGGACTTTGAGCCCTTGTTAAAGATCAGGTGACCATAGGTGGATGATTTATATCTGCATCTGGGTTCTCAATTCTGTTCCATTGGTCAATGTATCTGTCGTTGTACCAGTACTAGGCTGTTTTGACTACCGTAGCTGTATAGTAGGTTCTGAGGTCAGGTAGTGCAAGCCCTCCTACTTTATTCTTCTTCTTCAATAGTGCTTTACTTATCCAGGGATTCTTCCCTTTCCATATAAAGTTAATGATTAGTTTCTTCATCTCTTTAAAGAATGTTGTTGGTATTTGGATCAGGATTGCATTGTATTTGTAAATTGCTTTGGGCAGAATTGTCATTTTCACAGTGTTGACTCTACCTATCCATGAGCATGGTATGTTTTTCCATTTATGTAGATCTCTTTTGGTTTCTTGCAGTAGTGTTTTGTAGTTTTCTTTGTATAGGTCTTTTACATCCTTGGTGACTTCCCTATCTGAGTCGATATCTGGTTGTTCTGTCCTGTGTTCTAGTCTTGCGTTGTTATCTGATGTTATTGATTTTCTAACCGGAGGACTCCCTTTAGTATTTCTCGTAATTTTGGTTTGGTTTTTGTAAATTCCCTAAACTTCTGTTTATCTGGAAATGTCCTAATTTCACCATCATATTTGAGGGCCAGTTTTGTTGCATATATAATTCTTGCTGGCAATTTTTTTCCTTCAAGGCTTTATATGTGTCATCCCATTGCCTTCTTCTCTGCATGGTTTCTGCTGAGTAGTCTTTGGCGAGAGACTTTGGCCAGTGGGGAGCAGCGGAGGTCTAGTGGGGGTAGAAAGTTGGAGGGTGGGAAAGTGTATATTGCTGGTTACTGGTTGTTCTGTCTCTTGCTGGGGGCCCCCTGAAGCTGGTTTCCCACACTCCCTGTCTGCCAATCTCTGACAGGAGTCCAAGATGGTGAATCTGTGCTGCAGTAGCTGATAGGGGACCTCCACACGTATCTCTTCTCGCTCTCCGTTCTCTGTCAGTTTCTTATTCCTTTTGGTGCTTGGTTGAGTTCTTTATCTCTTCATTAGATGCTTAGGGTTCCAGGATTGAATATAAAATGTTTGTCTCTGTTTTACTTAGTTTTTTGGGTCTTTGCTATGGAGGGATGGTGTGATGCTTCTGTCTGTAGCACCATGTTGGCTTCGCCTTTTTTTTTTTTTTTAATGGACATAGATAGAAGTTCAAATTCTGCTCTGCTCTTGTTGTATGACCTTGGGCCAGTTACTTGACTTTTTGTGCCTCCGTTATATCTTAGTAAAATGGGGCACTTAATGCTACTTATCTCATAAGAAAGATTAAATATGATAATGCATTCAAAGTTTTTAAAAATGACCAGCACACAATTTGTACTTAGTTAATGTTAGCTATTTGTTATAATCAGTAGTAATATTAATTATTGTTGATGTTATTAATATGTTATCTGTGTTATGCACAATTCCCCATAGTTGGTGTCATTTCACAATGTACTTGCCTACTCAAAACACTGGAATAATGTGAACACATTATTATGGGTACAATATATGGGTTTCTCTCCAAAGGAAGAACTTGGAGACCCTTTTTGACATCTGAGAATGTAGTAATGTCACTGAGGAGTGAAAGGAGAGCTTTGTCCTTCCTGAGCCTGGGCAGGAAGTTGCAAGGACGCTTGGTCCCAGATAACAGGAATAGAAATATGAAAGAGAAATGCCTTTTTAAAAATTTACATTCTTTTCCCTGCTTAGCTGAGGTTATGTCACTCCCTTGCTTAAAATCTTCAGTGGCTTTCCATTGCCCTGACATAAAATCCAACCTTGTGCACCTCAGCTCATCAGTGACTGTCTCCTCTCCTCCTTACCTCTCCAGCTCATCTCTCGCCCTCTGCCCTCGCTCACTGACTCCGGCAATGGTGGCCTCCTCTTTGTTCTTTTTTGAACACACCACATCCTTTCCCATCCCAGGGCACTTGCACTTGCTGTTCCCTCTGTCTGTTACCTCTTCTCACTTCTTATCCTTCAGGACTCAGATCAAACATCACCTCCTCAGAGACACCTTCCCTACCACCTGATCTAAATCAGGTCTCTTCAGTCTTCAATTCTCTCTCTCACATCACCCTGCTTATTTCCTTCAGGGCACCTCATCAAAGTCTGATGTTCTCTTGTTTATTTGGTAACTTATTTATTGCCTTTTTTCTTCAGAGCATGGCCATATCCCCACTACCTAGCAGAGGGCTGGCCCACAGAAGGCACTCAAGAAATATTTGCTGACTGACCCCTTAATCACATTATAGTAAAGGGGAGTCCCAAAGAGAATCTTCTCAGGCTAAGCAGGAGCCATGTCAGGATGTGCACTGGAATTTCTAAGAGACATCTGATGACGCAGGGAAAGAGATAGCGTCAGGATGACGGAACTTCAAGAGGAAGGAGATCAAAGTCTATGGGCTGGAGAGATTTAGGAAGAGGCTCAGAGAGAGGTCAAATGAGGAAATTGAGTTGTTTTACCGTGTGATGTGGGATGTAACCCTCACCTCCATTCTCTACAAAAACTTCAGAGAGTATACGTTATATACCAGTGCTTTGGGGGTTAGTTTTTTTTTTTTTTAAAGCAACAGTGTACTGAGCCTGCCATCAAGTTGGGTGTGGGGGCAGAGGTATGGCCCCTCAAGGAGGCCCAGGAGTTTCTGAGTGGTGCAAATGGTTAAGCGCTCAACTACTAGCCAAAAGGTTGGCAGTTGGAACCCACGAGAGGTGCCTCAGAAGACAGGCCTGGCAATCTGCTTCCAAAATTTGAAAATTCTATGGAGTACAGTTCTACTGTGTACACATGGGGTCACCATGAGTCGGAATTGACTCAATGGCAACTAACAACAACAACAGCGAGGCCCAGCCTCAGTGGGACCAGAGAGAGCACTGACTGCTTGTGAGTAATGGCAGCACTGGTTTTGTTCACAGGTGTCAGACAGCGGTGTCCCTCCCCTCTCCTCTTTGACATCTGTCAGCGTCCATGTCACAGAACAGAGCCACTACCCACCCTCTGCCCTCCCTCTGGAGATCTTCATCACCATTGGAGAGGAGGAGTTCCAGGGTGGCATGGTGGGGAAAATCCATGCCACCGACCGAGACCCCCAGGACACGCTGACCTACAGCCTGGCAGGAGAGGAGACCCTGGGCAGGCACTTCTCAGTGGGTGCCCCTGATGGCAAGATTATCGCCGCCCAGGCACTGCCTCGTGGTCGCTACTCGTTCAACATCACCGTCAGTGATGGAACATTCACTGCCACTGCTGGGGTCCATGTCCATGTGTGGCATGTGGGCAGGGAGGCTCTGCAGCAGGCCATGTGGATGGGCTTCCACCAGCTCACCCCAGAGGAGATGGTTAGTGACCACTGGCGGAACCTGCAGAGGTTCCTCAGCAACAAGCTGGGCATCAAACGAGCCAACATCCACTTGGCCAGCCTTCAGCCTGCAGAGGGCATGGCTGGTGTAGATGTGCTCCTGGTCTTTGAGGAACATTCTGGAACCTTCTACAAGCTCCAGGAGCTGGCATCCATCATCACTCGCTCGGCCAAGGAGATGGAGCACTCAGTGGGAATTCAAATGAGGTCAACCATGCCCGTGCTGCCCTGCCAGGGGCCAAGCTGCCAGGGGCAAATCTGCCAAGAGACAGTGTACCTGGACCCCAAGGTTGGACCCACATACAGCACAGCCAGGCTCAGCATCCTGACCCCGCGACATCGCCTGAAGAAGAACTGCTCCTGCAATGGTGAGGAATGGGCCTTCCCTGGTAACAACCAGCACTGCTGGGCTCAGCCTGCCTGACTCTTGCGGTGGAGATCCCTGGGTGGGCCTGTAGGGTAGTTAGAGGGAAGTTTTAACAAGGCTAAGGCCACAGACCCCCATGAGACAGGCAGTGGCCTCAAAAAATCTGGTCATGGAATAACACTCTATTCCTGGCCTTTTTTTTGTATTTTGAAAATAAGAATGCAAGAGGCAATTTAGCATTGTGGCTAAGAGTATAGACTGTGGCATCAGACTGCCTGGGTTCTAATCCAAGCTCTCCCACTTACTAGCCATGTGACCTTAGAAAAATTACTTAAACTCTCTATGCCTTTGAGATTTGTGGGGATTAAATGAGTATTATATGTCAAGTGCTTGCTTAGAACAGTGCTTGACACATAGCAAGTGTTCAATAAATGCGAGCTACTACTATTACTGAGGCTGCCTAGTGGCACAAATGGCTAAGAACTAGGCTACTGACCAAAAGGTTGGAGGTTCAAGTCCACTCAGAGGTGCCTCGGAAGAAAGGTCTGGTGATCTGCTTCCAAAAAGTCACAGCCGTTGGAAATCCTATGGAGCCTAGTTCCACTCTGTACACATGGGGTCATCATGAGTTGGAATTGACTCAACAGCAACGGGTTTGGTTTTGCTTTTGGTATTACTATTATTACTATAGCATGATGGTTATAAACTTAAGATTTAGATGCAGACAAACCCTAAATCCATCATTTTCTAGATGTGTAAACTTGGGTGGGTTATTAAGATTCTCTGAGCTTCAGCTTCTCATCTATAAAATAGGGAAAATAATAACATCTGCCTCCTAGAGTTGTTTGGGGGAGTAAAGTACGTAATGGATATAAAAGCCTTCAACCCATGGCTAAGGAGCCCTCGTGGTGCAATTGTTAAGTGCTTGGCTGCTAACTGAAAGGTTGGTGGTTCAAACCCACCGAGCGGCTCCGTGGAAGAAAGACCTGGTGATCTGCTCCCATGAAGATTATAGCCTAGAAAACTCTATGGAAAAGTTCTAGTCTGTCACATGGGGTTGCTATGAGTCAAAATTGACTCCACTGCACCCAACAACAAAAACAACCGATGGCTCGTCCACAATAGGCGCCCAATCATTGGTGGCTGTCATTCCCATGGTAGCAGTTGTTGCTATAGAGACCATGCTACATGCCAGGCTCTGTGTCTATGTTGTCTACACTAATCCTCACCCACCACCCTATGCAGTAGGGCTCATTAGCTCATCCAGAGCTCAAATTGAGTGTCTTAGTTATCTAGTGCTGTTATGACAGAAATACCACAGGTGGGTGGCTTTAACAAACAGATATTTTCTCACAGTTAGGAGGCTAGAAGTCCAAATTAAGGGCGCTGGCTCTAGGGGAAGGCTTTCTCTCCTTGTCAGCTCTGGAGGAAGGTCCTTGTTTCTTTTGGGCTTCTTCTCCTGGGTGATCTTCATGTGGCTTGGCATCTCTCTGCTCCCATCTCTGCTTGCTCACTTGTTTAATCTCTTTTGTATCTTAAAGATTGACTTAAGAGGCACCCTACACTAATACTGTCTCATTAACATAACAAAGAAAACCCGTTCCCAAATGGGATTATAACCACAGGTATAGGGATTAGGATTTACAATACATATTTATTTGGGGCACAATTCAATCCATAATACTGAAGTACAGGAATTGTATTAGGTTGCCTGAAATGATACAGTCTTTAATGAAGGGTTGGTTACATCCCCAAGGTACCCCACTCTAAAGCCTGAGCTCTTCCCCAAGCTCTTCAGGAGCTCAGTTTCTGACAAGACTCACCCTGTGCCCCAGGCATTAAGGCTGATGCACTGGACGAGCTCAAGAGCACTGGCAAAAGAAAAAGACATGGCCTTCAACTCACCATTGCCCCCTGCCTGGCCAGCCCTTTATGGGTCCATCCAGTGAAATCCAGTTGCCTTAAATCACACAAATATGCAAAATCTTCTGCAATACTACCTCTATCTTCCCCAAATGGTGTCGTAAGTAACTTTAGAAACTATGTAGGATAAAAACTTGGATTTCCACGCTTGCTGTTCCAAATTTGGATTTGGTTGGTTACATTCCTGGCTAGATTCTTGCTTTCTTAAGGGTTTGCGCTCCCAGTACCTGACCCAGGGTAGGACCAAACGCAGGGGTCCTAGAGGCCAAAGGAAGGTATACAGGGTGGTGGCCTCAGTCTAGCTATGTGACCCTGGACAAGTAACTCCCCAGCCTAGTTTCTTCATCTATGAAATGTGAGCAGTACCTTCCTTGCAGCCCAAGGATTGAATGAGACAAAGTTGGTTTTGAGTGCTCTGTGGGGACCAATTTACTTGGAGGTGACAACTCTCGTTGCTTTCGCAGGTACCGCTGTGAGGTTCAGTGGTCAGAGCTATGTGCGTTACCATCTCCCAGAGACCCAGAACTGGCACATCAGTTTCCGTCTGAAAACGTTCCAGCCACAGGCCATTGTGCTGTTCGCCAATGGGACAGTGTCCGTCTTCCTAAGGGTAAGGCTCTGCTGGCCTGAGAGATTTCACGTGGCCTGCCAGCTGGAGGCAAGGTGGGGATGGGGGTCTTAGTTTCCTAGTCCTGCTGAAATACCACAGTTGGGGGGCTTTAAAGAACAGAAATTTATCTTCTCATGGTTCAAGGCACTAGCTATAGGGGAAGGTGCTTTCTTTGTTCGTTCTGGGGGAAGATCCTTGTCTATTCCAGCAATCCTTGGTTCCTTATTGATCGTCACATGGCATCTATCTTCCTGTTTGTGTTTGTTTCTGTCTAATTTGCTCTTTTTATTAACTCAGAAGTGATTAGGTTTAGGACACACCCTGTACCAATAATGGAATCATTAGCATAACAAAGAAAACCCTGTTCCCAAATGGAATCCACAGGTATAGAGGTTAGGATTCCAACACATATTTTGGGGAGACACAATTCAATCCATTGGCGGGGGGTAAGGAGTTTGAGGACAGTCAAATAGGCCAGTTTCTGGCAAACAAATCCGTGCATGGTTCTTAGGGATGTTAAGTGTGATTACTGGGCCAGGACACAGGATTTTCCTGCCCTGGATCACCACAGCCATGCCACCTGAATGTGTACATTCAAGTGGACAATTAGAGGCCTGGCTGCTCTGTGGCATAAGAGATCCTCTGAAGACAGAAACAGAGATGGGTGAGGCCACCTCCCACTGGGCTTTTACCACTCTAGCTGAGTAACAGACCAGTGTTTTCCAAAGTGGAAGTGTGGGTGGCTACCATGGGGGTGCTAGAGGTGGTAGATCCTCCATTAAGTAACATGGAAGAAATTAATTTCCTTTCAGTGGTCTCTTAGTCCTTCAAATGTATAGTATAGAGAGTCTCCATTTTCTTACCTGTTTTTAAGACCTCTGTCACACATGCCAATCTGGCAAAGAGAAAGCAGACTCTGGTAGCTAGTTAGAATTTAATTCATTCAACAAATATTTATTGAGCACCTACTATGATGATGACAGACACTGTTCTAGGTGCTTGGGTCTCATCGGTGAATAACCCCAAAATCCTTCTTAGAGTTTTCATTGTATAGGGTGGAGACTGACACTAGACATAAATGTAATAAATCAGAAAATTATAGAGTTTGTTCAAATGTGGGTTTTCTTTGCAGTTGGTTGATGGAGTGCTCCAGCTGGAATACCGATGCCCAGGTGGTTTCCATGGAAACCTTTGTTCCTGGCGCCCTGTGAATGACCAAGAGTGGCACTCCATCCAGCTGGAGAAGACATCCACCTCCACTCGCCTGTGGGTTGATGGTGCAGTCAACAACTCCCTTGTGCTCCCAGAAAACTGCCAGGGCCTAGGGCCTAAAAGAGACCTTTTGCTGGGCAACCTTGTCCCCTTGCAGTCTTCCCAAAATGTCTCCCAGGGCTTTGAAGGCTGTCTGGATGCTGTCATGGTCAACGGAGAGGCACTGGAGCTGCTAGTCCATGGCAAGAAGGTGGCCCGCTTGCTGGAGAAGCAGGCCCTTACCCAGTGTTGCCCCCTCAGTGATGACTGCAGCCAGAACCCATGCCTCAATGGTGGGAAGTGTTCCCAGACCCATGGAGCAGGTAAGGGCTAAGGGACAGGGTAGGGCAGGCTGACCCCAAAGTTTTGCCCAGAGGCTCCTCAGATGACTCTGATGAGTTGAACCAGCAATCATATAGCATTATAGAGTTTACAAAGCATAATTCTTTCACCACGCCCCATGAGGGAAGGAGGTTGGAGAGCCATAGAGTTCCATTTTGCCCCTGAGGAAACTGCTGGGCTGTGTCAGGGATGCCCAGAGAGGGAAAGGAATTTGCCCAAGGTCACATGGCTTTTAAGTGCGAGAGGCTTGTTCTGAGTGGAGATTGCAATGGAGAACTCCTGCCTCCTGATTCCAAATTTTCCTCTCTTTCTTACCATCTTGTAGGTAATGGGTTGGGATCTGTTAAGTCCACACTAGTGGGAACCAGGAGTCGTTCTTCTCCTTCATTAGAACTATCTTTCTACTTTGTTTTGGATGAGGGTAGAGCATAAATGGCGGCCTCAGATGTAGAGAGTTGAGTTAATCCCACACCTCAGTGTCATCACTGCTACAGGGAAAACCTTTCACTTACTCCGCTTTAACCTATCCCCATTCTATTCCCCACCCCCAACCCCACAGGCAAACACTTAAAGCTTTTAAAGTGAGCTCTTGTAGAATGGATATTACTCTTTATCACTTGCTCGAATTTTTAATTTATGTTAACCTGGTGGCAATAATGTTAAGATCTGGGCTGCTAACTGAAAGGCTGGTGGTTCGAACCCACCTAGCAGCACTTTGGAGAATGACCTGGTGATCTGCTCTTGTAAAGATTTACAGCCTTGAAAACCCTATGGGGGCAGTTCTACTGTATTACATGGGGTCACTATGAGTCAAGGTCCACTCAACAGGATCTAACAATAGCAACAGTGATTGGCATATAATATCTTATACTTTCACTCAACAACATATTTTTAAGATGCATTCACACTGCCATGAATGCACCTTACTCATTGCTTTTAATCACTGCTCAATGCTTCATGCTGTGCCTGCACCCACATTTTCCCTCTCCATTCTCCCAGCGAAGGATGGACACCCTGGGCTTCAAACTCCCACCTCCATCACCAATGCTGCAGTGAACATCTTCATACATGTCCCCTTATGAGCCTGAATGAGGATTTCCTTCTCTTTCTCACACACACACACACACACACACACACACACACACACACACACACACACCAGGCAGGGATGGAATTCCCATACCCACATATGCAAATAGTTAATTAACTAAGTAGGGCCAGACTGCTCTCCATCATGGCTGCACCAGTCTACACCCCCGCCAGCAGTGCATGGATTCCCATGTACCCACATCCCCGTCAACACTTAGCGTTATCCCGTTTTCTAGTTTGTGCCAGACTGATCACATTGTCATCTCTACCTCCAAAATACCCATGGAGTCCATCACTTCTCTCTATCCCTTGGGCCATCACTCTGATCCAAGCCCCCATCGTCACCCACCTTTTCTCCTGCACTGCTCACCTCCCTGTTCTCCAGCTTCCTTCCCTCCATTCCTTCTTCCACCAGGGAACCAGAGTGATCTTTATAAAAATGCAGATCTGAGCATCTCACTCTCCTGCTTAGAACCTCTCAGTGGCTCCCTGTCACTTTTCGGATACAGTCTAAAGTCCTGCTTTGGCCCTCCTCTCCAGTCTTGTAGCTCCCCGCTCTCTCCTTTGCTCACTAGGGTCACCCCACTGGCCTCTCTTTAGTTCCTTGAGCATGCTGTACCCTCTCCTCCCAGCCTTTGCACACAGTTCTCCTCTGCCTGAAGCACCTTCCTCTTTGCTCCTCCTTCTTTTTGCCTGGTTAATTTTTACTTATCCTTCAGGTCTCAAACATCACCTCCTCCAGGAAGCCTTCCTTGGTCTCTAGACCAGGCTAGGTCACCATACTTCCCTTTCATAACACTAACTTTTATTATAATTACTAATATACTGATACTACATATAACTGTCTAGGTTTGAATTCAAGCTTTGCCATTTGCTAGCTGTGGGACTTTGAGCAAATGTCATAAGTTCTCTGTGCCTCATTTCCTCATTTGCCATCTCCTTGTACCTGTCCCCTGATGAGCATAATAATAGTAACCAATCTCAGGGTTGTCATGAGGCTTAAATGAGCTAATACATGAAGATGCTCAGAACAGTGACTAGCATATTGTAAGTACTCAATAAGTGTTGTCCCTTATTATTCTTCTTCTTTGAATGTCTGTTTTTGCTACTGGTCTATAAGTTGCTTGAGGGCAGGGACCAAGTCTTCTTGTGCAGTAGGGCAGTAATACCCAACATGATATCAAGCACAGAGGAAGCACTCAATAAATAAATGGTTGTTGAAATGACTGTGTGAACATGAATCTGCACATGTGCCGAGGCCACCCCTTGGTCCAGGAGGGCCTCTCACTCGGGGGCTACCTAACTGCTCGGCCACTGTGCTCTCTCACTTCCCTTCTCTCTCTCCCAGGCTATGTCTGCAAGTGTCCTCCACAGTTCTCTGGGAAGCACTGTGAAGAAGGAAGGGAAAACTGCACGTCTATACCCTGCCTGGGAGGTGGTACCTGCATCTCCTCCCCGAAAGGAGCTTCCTGTAACTGCCCTTACCCTTACACGGGAGACAGGTGAGCAATTGGCTCCTCACCCAGTTTGGCACCACTAAGGAGTGACCTGTGCACTCTGACCTTTGACTCCAGTGGAGGCCAGAGGATGAGTACTTCAGTGACATGGTCCACATCTTTGCCATGTGTTAAGACGTCTCATCTGAGCCTTTCTCATCAACCACCTGCAAGGGGCTTGTTAAAAGATAGATCCCCAAGCCCTGCTCTGAATCACTGAATCAGACTCGCCTGGTTGAGGCCCAGGAATCTGTACTAACCAGCTCCTCAGGAGCTCCTGATCTTGGCTGAAAACTGAAAATTGCAGTTTTTGTTTTCTTGCTCTGTGCTGTGGCTTCCCCAAAAGTGGCCGGGGTACAATGATTCCACTTGGCACAGAAACTGCTATGAATCTCGAGCCCCCACTGCATGCTAACAGTGCCTAGTGCTATGTTGGGCTGTGGGACTTACAGGGGAAGGAAAGTCATTTCAAGAATCCTAGAGGTCAAGAGGCTTTGGAAATCACCTGGCTCTGCAGCTGTCGTATTTGGGAGCTTTTACAAAAATTACAAGGGAAACTTATGGAAAAAAAAAAAAAAAAGATTCTTGGTCCCTACCTAGACCAACTAAATGGGAATCTCCAAGGAATGGGGCTTGGGAATCTATTTTTAACAAGCTCCCATGGGATTTCCTTGCCGTCAACCCTGGCATCTGCATAAGAGAGCCAATGATCTAGTCCATCTCACCATTTTAAACATGGGGAAACTGAGGCCAAGAGAGGTTAAGGGCCTGCCCAACATTATCTTGCGTGTTTGTGGCCCAAGTCTTTTCTTTCAGCAACTGGCATTTCCTGCCCCACTCCTGCCTTGTTTTGCAGTAGGAAATAGCATCCATTCCTTAGATGTCTTTGGAGGATGCTTGATGCCTGGAAGTGCTGTTGTCTGGACACGATAATATTTGATTCCCAAACACAAACTAGTGGTGGTGAAATTTCTGGCACTGGAGGATATTTTGGACTGAGTAGGGTAGTGGGAGCTTTTGCCAGAATCTTTCAAAAGTGGGTAAAGCTGGTCATAGAGGAAGTCTCCTAGGATCCTTACACCATGGTCTGCCAAGCAGAAAATGACCTGAGAAGTTGCATGGTTCAAGTATTTTCTCTGAGAAAGTTACCCAGTGTGAGGAAGCTGATCAGTACAGGCCATGTTGGGTTCCTGTGATCTCCTGGTGAAGAATAGTAGGTACCACTGGTACCAAGTGCCATTCCTGGATGACTGGACCCTGACATCATTGTAGAGGATGGCTGGGTATGTCAGATACCTCTCCTTCGGTAGTATGATGGGAAGTCTGACCTCATTGGTGGAGAGTATGCCCAATGCCTAGATCTCATTGGTGGGAAATAATGGGTGTGCCCAGAGTCCAGATCTTACTGGTCAAGAGTATGGGTGCAGTTGAGGCTCAAGCCTCACTGGTGGAGGATGGAGAGTGTGTCTGATTGTTGATGTGTCACTGATGTGTTTGATAATTATCTTTTCTCTTGGAAAGCGGAAGATAGTAGGCTGGAGGGTGGGGGTCTCTATTTCGCAGATCCTTGCAAGAGGGGACATGAATGGGCAGTACAATGACTCAGTCCTCTGACTTCTCTGTGTCTGCAGGTGTGAAATGGAGGCAAGAGGTTGCTTGGAAGGACACTGCCTGGTCACTCCTGAGATTGAAAGAGGGGACTGGTGGCAGCAGGTGATACTGATCACCACAGGGGTAGTATCATCCATCTTTTTCATTGGGATCATTGTTGTGCTCCTCCTCTACTGCCGCCATCGCAAGTCTCACAAGCCCATAGCCATGGAGGACCCAGACCTCCTGGCCAGGAGTGTTGGTGTTGACACCCAAGCCATGCCTGCCATTGAGCTCAACCCCCTGAGCACCAGCTCCTGCAATGACTTGAATCAAGAAGAGCCCAGCAAGGCTTCAGTCCCGAATGAACTTGTCACCTTTGGACCCAGCTCTAAACAACGGCCAATGGTCTGCAGTGTGCCTCCCAGACTCCCACCTGCTGCGGTTCCTTCTAACTCTGACAATGAGCCCATCATCAAGAGGACCTGGTCAGGAGAGGACATGGGTCAGTATAGCCAGAGGTCCTTCGCCCCTGATTGATAGAAGGGGGTGGGAAGACCTATACACTTCATTATCTGAGGCACAATTATTTTCGCCCACCATCCAGTCCAGTCCCTTGGGATGGGATATGAAGGGGTGTGTTCAAGGCCACAGTGCACTAATGACTGGGTTAGATGCCAGGTCTCTTGACTCAGCATATGGGGTCCATTCAGCTGCATCATGATCCATTCCTCTAAATTCTAGGTCACTCCATAGGATTGGTGTCTATGGAAGAAACCTATAGACGCTGGGTATGGATGGGTAGAAAATCTGGAGTGAAAACATTTATGCTTTTCTGGGAAGGCAAAAAAAAGGCATGATCCAAGCTTCTTGTTGCCCTGTCTGGAAGTGTAGCAGCCTTGGACCCAACCTGACTAGCCTAGAGGAGGCAACTTCCCTCTCTCTTGTCTTTGGCTCAGAAAGAAGTGAATTTGTAAAGCACTTTATGTTTTCTGGCTTATTCACCAGTAGTTATAATGGATATTTTCACTCTCCTTTTTGGAGGGATAGGGTAACTGGAACCCATAAAAATTAAGTGACTTGTTCCAACTTACCCAACTATTCAGTAGCAGAGACAGAGCTAGGACCAAGGCCTCCTGGTCTCCTGACTTCCAAGCTACATCGCATTGCATCACCCTCTGTATAGACTCCATCATACCTCTTAGTACCAACTGTGTGTCTGATTCTTCCATTAAGGAGCTGAAACTCACCAGTAAGACTTGGGACAGTGCTGCCATCCCTCGCAGCGGGAGTGTGCTGCATGGAGCCATCCATATTCTTCCCTTGTTCACTGGTCTTTCGATCAGTGTCACAGATTAGCAAGATGGGATGGCTTTGAGTTAGACCTCTGGCCTTGAAATCTCCCCCATTGGGTTCTAGACACCAAGCTAAGCCACCAGAAGCAATACACATGGACTGGCTGCCCATGTGCTCACCCACTCCTTTAGCCATCTCACTACCTTGCTGAGGTACATATAGTAGCCGTAGGGCAGCTGGAACCTTCGCCAGAGAAACTCAGAGTTTATCCTATCTTGCTGTTTCCTTTCAGTGTACCCCGGTGGAGCTGCAGTCTGGTCCCCTACTTACTCCAGGAAGGAACGCTGGGAGTACCCCCACACTGAAGTGACCCAGGGCCCTCTGCCGCCCTCACCTCACCGCCATCCAACCCCAGCCATGATGCCAGAACCCATTGGTCTCTATGGGGGCTTCCCCTTCCCACTGGGACTGGAAAGCAAGCGGGCCCCCCTCCCACCCCGTTACAGCAACCAGAACCTGGAAGATCTTATGCCCCCACGGCCCCCTAGCCCCCGGGAGCACCTGCTCGACCCCTGTCTCAACGAGTACACAGCCATCAGCTACTACCACTCCCAGTGTCTGCAGGGAGGGGGAGGGCCCTGCCTGGCAGAGGGGGGCTACAAGGGAGTGAGCATGCGGCTCAGCCGTGCTGGGCCCTCTTACGCTGACTGTGAGGTGGGGGGTGGGACTTCCACAGGCCGGAGCCAGCCCCATGCACCCCCCCACTATGAGGGCTCTGACATGGTGGAGAGTGACTACGGGAGCTGTGAGGAGGTCATGTTTTAGCTCCCTAGTTCTCAAAGGTAGGCAGATGGGAAGCCAAGGCCTTGGCCCCTTCCTCCTGCCTCACCAGGAGTGAGTTGAGCATGGCTGGGAAAGTGGGAGGGAAGCCCCCATACTCAGTTCAGGCTGCCATCCTTGAAATGTGCTCTTCCGGTCCCCAGCTAGTCCCGAGGGTGGAGGGAAGCTGAGGGTAGAGCTCCAAAAACAGCACGAGGGCCCCCAGGAGGGGAGGATGCACAGAGTATTTACCCTAGGAAAGCTAGGAACACTGAGTCCTGGGATGGGTGAGATGGTGAGTCTCATTCATGTGTCATCTCTCAGTACCCAGGGAGGCAGAGCCCGAACTGGGCCAGCTCTGCAGAGATGCGTCCTCACACCTGCCCGAGCTCCGTTCTGAGGCAGAGGCAGGTTCGTGCTTGACAGGCAATCATCACACCCGTTACTGGGGTGTGATCCAGGGCCATCCGTCCCTGGAGGGCCACAGGGTGTCCTCCTAGGGTCTGAGAGGTGAGCAGCAGGCGAGCATGTACCAAAAGTCACCTGTGCACCTGTGTGTTTTTCGAGTGCCTGCTCCTTGTCAGGCAGCGTGCGACGCATTGAGATACAATGGAGAACAAGAGCAATAAGGTTCCTGTGAAGTGTCACTCAGGCCACCGCCCCGGAGGTCCCAGTCCTGCAGCCCAGATTCCAAGGAACCTTTTTGGCCTCTGTATGTAAGTCACATGACTTTCTAACCTGGGGTCTGCCAGGGCCCTGGGCAGCCCCAAACCTTCTTCATTCAAGAATTCAGACCTCATGGAACTCTGGATTCTTCATCCCGAGTTTCCCAGGCACTTTTGGCCAAAGGCAAGAAGGAACTAATTCTTCATTTTAAAATTCAAAGGCACTTTTCAACCTTGCTGTCTGGATGAGTTTCCCCAAAGGGGCTTTTCTTCACTAGACACAAGGAACTCTGAATTCCCACTCAGGGCAGGGGTGAGGCAAAGAGCTGCATGCCAGTGTGTCCAGGCTGACCACCCTGCCCTCCCCGACCTCTCCATCTCAGACGCCTACCAATCTTAAGTGTTACCTGCAGTGACTCAACCCTGTGCATGGAGGGTCAATGTGGGCACGGGTCTACACATGTGGGCACCATGTATAGTAAGTGTGTACACATGTATAGAGTGTAGCCAGGAGTGGTGGGAACCAGAGGTCCCTGTGCTTCTCACCCCACCACTCCCTCCCCCGCCATCCCTCCCTCCGGTCCACTGCCTTTTCATGTGTGTTGTTTCTGGAGACAAAGCCAGAAGGAAGAGCAATGAGGACTCTCACCCACAGGGTCGCTACTTACAGAGATCACAGGCTGTGTGGGTGAGAGTCTTATTTTTGTGGACAGTTAGCGGCTGTGTGCGTGACTGTGAGCGTGAGTGATAGTATGCATGGTTTCGTTGGTCGTTCGTTTTTTTTTTTTAACAATAAAATATTATTTTTACTGTTTTCTGTGTCACTTAGCCTGTTTTGGGTTGGATCAGGGGGAGGACATGAGGTCTATAGGCCCTTCCAAGTTAGGACTCAGGAATCCAGGAACTGGAAGGGACTCTAAATTTAGATCATCAAGCACAGTGATGCCCAAACCTCATAGTGCATCAGCAGTACTTGGAAAAACTGCTAAAATGCAGATTCCTGAGCCCCACCCTCGTGGTGTAGTGGTTAAGCACTCAGCCGCTAACCAAAGGTCAGCAGTTCGAACCCACCAGGGGCTCTGTGGGAGAAAGATGTAGTGGTCTGCTTCCTTAAAGATTACAGCCTTGGAAACCCTATGGGGCAGTTCTACTCTGTCCTATAGGGTCACTGTGAGTCGGACTTGATGGTAATGGGTTACCCCAGACACACGTAATCAGAATCTCTGGGGGCTGGGCTCAGGAGGAGTCCCTGGGTGGTGGAAATCGTTAAAACACTTGGCTGCTAACTTAAAGGTTGGAGGTTTGAGTTCACCCAGAGGCACCTCGGAAGAAAGGCCTGGTGATCTACTTCCAAAAAAAAAAAAACAGTCATTGAAAACCCTCCGGAGCACAGTTCTATTTTGACACACATGGGGTCCCCATGAGTCAGAATCAACTCGGTAGCAATTGGTTGGTTGGTTAGTTGGTGCCCGGGAAACTACATTAAAAAAAACAAAAAACAAACCCAGATTCTGACACAACTGTCTGCCTTGGTTTTAACCCATCAGTTTAAAGATGGGAAAACTGAGGCTCTGGGTGGGAAGGGATGAGTCCACTAACAAGCAAGTTAGTGAAAGGACAAGACACCAGGACCCCTGACTCCTAGTCAGTGCTCTGCACCCCACCACCCTACTGGGGAGAAAGCACTCAAGTAACACAGGTCTTGGAGAGTCAGCTGCACTGGCGCCCAGAATCAGCTGTGCTGCTGCTCCATGCTCACCCAAGGCCCAGCTGAAGGTGAAATTCACCAGGCAACCCTCCTGCTTTTGGTCCAGGAGCCAACCATGGTCTGGGCACCTGCAGTGCCAGGCCTTGCAGGGATACAAACTCGAACAACCAACCCTTGCCACCGAGATCCCAATCCAGCTGGACACAGAAAGTACATCCTCGAAGAGATCATGGCAGCCTTGTTTTTGGGGTCTGTGTGGCCTCGAGCATGTATGACTTAGCCTCTCATTTTTCAGTAAAATGAAGAAATAAACAATAGCACCTCATAATATTGTTGTAAAGAATAAATGTAAACATCTTAGAGCACAGTAAACAATAAATGATGACCCTTATGATAGGAAATGATACCTGGTAGTATAGAATTCCTGGGTGGCGTAAATAGTCAAACACTTGACTACTAGCCAAAAGGTTGATGGTTTGAATCCACCAGCGGCACCTCGGAAGACAGGCCTGGTAATCTGCTTCGGAAAGGTCACAACCTTGGAAACCCTATGGAGCAGTTCTACTCTGCTTGGAATCAACTTGATGGCAACGGACAACAACAACAACCGTATAGAGATAGGATTAATGTATCGGAACTGTGCAGGAATTCACAAACGCCCTAGTCCAGTGTTGCCCAAAATTGTCATTTTGCTTACCATGTCAATGACTTTTGCCCTGAGCGAATATCACCGGTATTTACTTAATATTTTTCTTTAAGTGATTTGGGTTTTTAAAAAATATTTTTATTCACCTTAAACAATATCCAAGAAATAAAGGATTTGAGAGTTACAAGGGAAACGCTCAATGGGATGGAGTGACACAATCACCACAACAATGGACTCAGACATACCAGTGATCATGAAGAAGGCGCAGGAGCAGCAACATTTTGTGCTGTTATACATAAGGTCACCGTAAGTCAGAGCCGACTCTGACTTATTAACAACATTATTAACAGCAATTAACAACATTTCATCTAACACAAATGAAAATTCGTTTAAGTATTCAGATAAAAATGACTGCCCAGGGAAGGGCCCCTAAATCAACTTTGAGAAACACTGGTCTAGCCCATCCCCTAATTCCCAATATTCCTTACTCTAAAGCCTTCAGAGAAGAAGCGGTTTGTCCAAGGTCACACAGCTAGAATGTCACAGAGGTAAGACCCAAACGCAGGGTTGACATCCAGCCTGGCGATCCCCCCACAGGACCACACAGTCTCACATTCTCCTGGATGGGGGAGACTCTCGCCCCAGTCCACCTCTCCCCAGACCAGTTCCCTCCTTCCCTTTGTCCTCCTGACTTGCAGCCTCAGGATGGACCACCAGTCCATTTCAGCAGCTTCTATCGGAGAAGGAAAGCAGCTGGAATTCACCAGGACAGATGGCAAAAGAATTGTCAACCTGCTTCCTTCAGATGGCAGTGGACCGAGGGAGGTCTTGTACAACTTGTCATCACGTGGGTGTTGTTTTAAGGCCTTATGTTATTGTTGTTGTTAGTTGCTGTCATGTTGATTCCAACCCCTAGTGACCCTAGAGGACAGAGTAGGTTTCCTAGGTTGTAATCATTACGGGAGCATGGCCAGATCTTTCTCCTGCGGAGCTGCTGGGTGGGTTTGAACCACCCACCTTTTGGTTTACAGCCAAGAGCTTAAATATTGAGCCCCCAGGGCCCCTCTGTAGCCTTATAGGAAGGATAAACATATCCTTCAGAAATCAGGGCAGGCCCCTAGAGGAAGACACAGGAGGTCTTGGAGAGAGGACTGAAGTCATGGCTAGAACCTCGAAAAGTGAGTATATAAAAGGGCAGAGCCAAAGGCCATGAGGGGAATACTGCTCTCTTTTGGGATTAGGATTGTGGAGGTTACAGAAGAGAGAGCAAAGCAAAAGTGCAGTATGTAAAGTTTTGAGATATGGCGTGAATAGCCCAGGGCTGCAGAGCTGGTTCAGTACAGAAAAGTCAACCCATCCTTGTACCACATGATGAATGGACAACATGCCAGCCTTTGAGGGCTCGGGGCCCAGGTGCTGAACAATAGCCCAACTGCAGTGACTAAGGACAGACGCTGGAAGTCCTCGAGGCTTCTGCCAGCTCCATCTGAAAATTTGTATTAAAAGAGAAAGGCTGTGTTGTTGTTGTTAGGTGTCACTGAGCTGGTTCAGACTCACAGCGACCCCATGTACAAGAGAACAGAACAACGTCTGGTCCTGCGCCATCCTCACAATCACTGCTGTTTGAGCCCATTGTTGTAGCCACTGTGTCAGTCTATCTCACTGAGGGTCCTCTTTTTTGCTGACCCTCTACTTTACCAAGCATGATGTCCTTCTCCAGGGACTGGTCCCTCCTGATACCATGTCCAAAGTAAGTGAGATGAAGTCTCACTATCCTCACTTCTAAGGAACATTCTGGCTGTACTTCTTCCAAACAGGTTTGTTTAGTCCTCTGGCAGTCCATGGTATATTCAATATTCTTCAACACCATAATTCAAAGGCATCAATTCTACTTTTGTCTTCCTTATGCATTGTCCAGCTTTTGTATGCATATGAGGTGATTGAAAATACCATGCTTTGGGTCAGGTGCATCTTAGTCCTTAAAGTG